TAGCATGTAGGTACAAGATCCTGTCCCCCAACTGGATTGTCTTCAGTTTTGTCTTGGTTAGGGATAGCTTTACAGAGTGAGATTTCCTCAGATTGACATAGGCTTAGATCAAACATAAAAACATCTTAAGTGGGAATTTTCAGATTATTGTTAAAGTACAAAGTATTTTAATGTCTTTAAAATTGGAATATGCATAAGTATGGAATTTCGTACGCGTATTTTACACGTTGCTAGTAAGTAACTTTGAATATGATTGTTGCAGTTTTATGGAATTTGGGTCAATGGGACTGCTTTTTCCTCTAAGCAGTTTAAGAAGTGTTTTTAAAGTTTAAATGCCATACTTAGATTGTATAATCCTTACGGGATTCTTAAATTTAATCATCTTTGTCTTTGTCTAGAAAGTTTTACCAATGACTTTTAGGAGTTTTTTTGTTTTTTGTTTGTTTGTTTGCTTTGGGGCTAGAAATGGGTTTTATTTGTTATCCTTGACTTAATTTTGGATTATCCAATTAATGGAATTTTTGTGGTAAAATTTTAATCCTAAAATCTATTCACTGACTGTTCATTTAATTAGGGAGTATCTGTACACATTCATGACTGGGTAAAACAGGAAACACATTTTGAATGTATAGCCTAAAGGCAGTCATTTATAGGATTTTGTTTCTCTGCTTTTGTAGGGTATAAATTCCTAGTGGCAGGACGCCCTGCTATGCTACTACACTGTGTCCTTGGCAGTGGTGATTTAAATCACTGACCTCTTATCAGTTTGGCCAGTCCCACTCCCACCCATCCCCCGCCCTGTGTTGCTTGACAGGATCCCCAGGCTTACCTGAACCTAAGGAAAAGTCCTTACTTCTTTCCCAGCTTACCTCTTGATCTTGAGTCTTCCAGAACATTTCCTTTTCATAATGCAAGTCAATTGAAAAGTGAGATTTGATACATGGAATTTTTGTGACCTATCAACCTTACATACATATAATTTGAAAGATTCCTGAATTCTACTAGTTATACTGAAAAGCACACACCTGATTAAAACATGTTTTTTTGTTACAGAAATACAATATATGTTCATTTGAAAATAAATGGACGAGCAAATTGCATCTCCCTAGGAGATACATTTTATATACATTTTGGTGTGTGTTTTCACTATGGATTTCTATTTGTTTCTCTCTTCCACTTGGTTCTTTTTTTTTTTTTTTTTTTCTGTGTCACTATTGTATGTCCTAATATCTTTCATACTTCTGTATTCTCTCAAAGCAAAGCACCCTTGTCCTGGATCTTGTTAAGGAAAGCCTCACTCAGTCTCTCTGGGCTTCTGAAAATTAGGAAATATGAGAGCTATGCTGTGTTGAGTAACTGGCTTCCTAGAATTGTCATCTCTCCTGCCAGTGTTTTAAGTCATGGTTCTGTTTTCCTTTGACAGGTGTTTCATCTTTGGTGTTAGCTAAGATCCTGTCATCATTTTTAGTGCTCTGCAGGATGCCCCTAAATTACTTACATATTTTATGAGTTTTCATTAAAGTTGTTGAACCTTATATGGTCAAGTTACTTACCTGCTCAAAAATCCAGTGAATTCTTAGCCCCTATATTAAATGCATACTTTTTGTCTTCTGAACCTTATTCCCACTTTTACCTAACAGGGACCTCAAGTTAAGCCTCTCTAATCCTTCAAGGCCTGGACTTGTTCCTGACACCTCAAGAAATCTTGATTCTAGGGCCTATTTCATTGTCTTCTTTGAATCTCTATAAAGCTTCAAATCTGTATGACATATTCTTACACCAAATTATATATTGTCTTGTACTGTTCCTAGCTGGTACATGTATATTAGTCTTGTCTCCCTCATGAGAATGTAAGCTCCTTAAGGGCAGGGACCATGTCTTAATTTTTGTATCCACCACAGTGCCTAGCACAGTGCTTGGCACATGGGTGCTGAATAAATACTTTGTTTATTAATCAGCAAACTATTATCTGGTATTTTTAATTACAAAGGGATTCATATGTATGCATGCAAGCTTGTGCCTAATTGCTGAGGCTTATGATTGTCTCTGAAATTTGGATTGGAGCAGAACTGAATGTGATCAGGGACCATGGTTTGGTGGTCAGGTGACTGTTAGCTTTTCCTCGCTGTGACCAATATAACTGACAAGGAAATGTAGATGAGGGAAAGTTTATTTTGACTCAGGATTTCAGAGGTTTCAATCCATAGTAGGCCAACACCATTGCTCTGGGCCTAAGGTAAGGCAGAACTTCATGGCAGAAGGGACTGGTGGAGGAAAACTACTCAGCAGAGCAGGAGGGAAGAGGGCAAGGCATCAGGGACAAAGTACAAACCCCAGTGACTAACTTCCTCCAGCCATGTCCCACCAGCCTATCATTACCACCCGGTTAGTCCATTCAAATTATTAGTCCATCAAATGGATTAATTCATTAATTGGGTTACAGCCTTTATAATAATATAATAATTTCACCTCTGAACATTCCTACATCAATAGGAGTTTTGGGGAGACACATCCAAACCTTCACAATGACCACCAGCTGGTATAGTCATGGTCAGACCTGATAAGTCCACACAACTATTCAGACAAGTTAAGAATGAAATGTGTCTGATACATGACCTTTTAGAGGAAGAGCCAGAATATACTTTGAATAGTATTATTAGTGTGTCAACATCTGTAAACAAAAGCTGCTGAACCACAAGAGACTATTTGGAGGGGCAGAAGATTTCACACTACTAATGGGGGAAATGTGGGCAATATAACTTGATGCTTGTGTAGGATTTAGTTTTTTCAACTGATCTTAGAGGCTGCAGAACAGGATTACTAAGCCAGAGTTTATGGAAGAGTTTCGTATAGAAGTACTGTGTTCTTTGGTATTGGGGATTGAACCCAGGGGCGCTTTACCACTGAGCTACATTTCCAGTCCTTTTTAATATTTTCATTTTAAGACAAGGTCTCACTAAATTGCTGGGACTGGCCTCAAACTTGTACTTCCTACTTCACCCATAATTTCTGGGATTACAAGCATCAGCCTCCATGCCCAGCTTAATGTGCCATGTTTTGCATTTCAAGAAACACTTTTTTGGGGGGAGAGCATATATAATATATATTTTTTAATTTGTTCTAATTATACATGTCAAAATTTTTTTAGTCAATATTTTAAACACGTCACATAAAATCTTCATTTTTTCGCTTTTCTTGAAAAAATAGGAAGAAAAATAGCCTGCATGACAGCTGTTGCCTAGAAGCAATTAATGGCCACTTCTAGGGACAAGGCATGTCCCCTATCAAGAAATTATTTCGCTCATTCATATTACCTACCTGGATTCTTGTAACATATATAACAATAGGTTAGTTTGGAAAAGGACTGGGATCTTTTACTTTTTTTGTTCTGTTTTTGTATTTTTTGTTTATTTTATTTCCAGTCCATTACAACATTTATTTTCCCTTGCAGTTTTAGATCACCTTTCTAAATTAATATTTAAGAATTAAAAAGCAAAAAATTGTCAATTCTGAAAAACGTCTGTTGTTGGTTCAACGTACATTTTTAGTAACCCCCGATTATTACACTGTCAAGAACTGAAGAAAAATGATCTCTTGACCTAGAGGAAAGGGAAAGGAGGATTGTAAACACTGAGGAGAATTTTTTTTCACATACTGAGTTTCACGGAAATAAACTCCAGAAGATGTTCTTTCACGTTAGGTTGAAACTTATCCTTTATTCTCTGGAGGTCATATTTCCTGTATGCAGAGCCAATCTTCCTGGAGTGAATTAGTTTTTTGTTTATTTCTTTCTTTTCTTTTCTTTTTTGTACCAGACATTGAACTCAGGGGCACTCAACAACTGAGCTACATCCCCAGCCCTATGTTGTATTTTCTCTAGAGACAGGGTCTCATTGAGTTGCTTAGTGCCTCGCCATTGTTGAGGCTGGCTTTGAACTTGCTCCTGTCTTAGCCTCCTGAGCCACTGGGATTACAGGTGTGCGCCACTGCAACCGGCTCCTCTCAAAGCTTTTAGGAAGGAACAGAGGAACTAGTAATATTTTCTCTGCTGGAGTTCTAGATGTTTTCATTGGTTAGAGTATCATGACAGGGCTGGAGAGTTGTGTAAGGAATTTGAGAGTCTGGCAGTAATGATTGGGAGAAAGGAAGCGTTAAAGACCATTTTAGTTCCATTCAATTCCCTCTTTCCCTGCTTGTGTTGCTGAAGCACACAGTATCCATCCAGATGATCACTTTCTTAGGAAATATATGATTGTCAGAATCATAGAATTCGTCTTTCTTTTCTGTTAATAAGGATGATTACATTGCCCTTTTCAAAATTAAGATTTTGTGACATTTGAATGACTTTAATTTCAGAAAACTCAATTTCTTCATTTGTAAATTGAGGGTATCAGGATCTACCATTTAACTCTAGAAGATCAATGCAAACATTTGTATTTCTCATTGATTTTTTTGGGGGTGGGGTACTGGAGATTGAACCCAGGGCCTTGTGCATGCAAAGCAAGCACTCTACTAACTGGGCTATAACCCCAGCCGCTCTCATTGACTTTAAATAAGTAATTCCTTGAAGAGTGACGATTTTTGTGCACAGAGAAGGAGAAACTTGTTTTTGGGCGGTGGGGGGAAATGTACAGGGGACTGAACTCGGGCACTCGACCACTGAGCCACATCCCCAGCCCCATTTTGCATTTTATTTAGAGACAGGGTCTCACTGATTGCTTAGCACCTCGCTTTTGCTAAGGCTGGCTTTGAACTCGCAATCCTACTGCCTCAACCTCCGGAGCCGCTGGGACTACAGGCGTGCGCCACGGCGCCAGGCGAGAAACGCATTTTTGCTGGAAGTAAACCGGTATTAACGTCAAGGAGAAGAAAGTCGTTATTCTAGACCAATGTCCCACGGAACCGCATACCCTATCTTTCTCTGTTGTTGCTCGGGGCTTTTTTGTGGTTGTACATCAGCCTCTACTCTCATCGCCCCTAAGAATTGAACGTCTTCCCAAACCCCCATGCATTCTGGGAATTGTAGTCCCCTCCCTAAAGCTTGGGGGCCGCCGTGAGGTCGTTGGTGGTCGCCCAGAACCGGCTGCACGTGGAGAGAAAGGGGCGGTGCTTGCTTGGTGCCGGCAACCGAGAGGGGCAGGAGCTTCCTGCTCTTGCGCCTCCTGCCGCGGCGTCCTCCCGACATGCCGGAGGAGGCGGGCTTCCCGCCGGCCAAGAGATTCCGGCCGGGCTGTGGGCCTCCGAGCCGCGCCGGTTCCTACCCTCCCGAGAGGCGAGTAGTGATGCTGCTGACTGCGGGCGGCGGCTGCGGTAGAGGTGGAGGAGGAGGCCGGCGACAGCAGCCGCCCCTGGCCCAGCCCTCGGCCAGTCCCTACCGTGAGGCCCTGGAGTTGCAGCGCCGGAGTCTGCCCATCTTCCAGGCGCGGGGGCAGCTCTTGGCCCAGCTCCGAAACCTGGACAGCGCGGTCTTCATTGGTGAGTGGCCGCGCCAGCGGGTTCCTTTTTACTCGGTTCCTGCTTTGCGGGAACAGTTTCTTAAGTGCATCTCCCTTTCATTCTTTTTTTTTTTTTTGAAACAAACTTGAACGCCCCTTCTGTGCCAGACCTGGAGAGGGACGTCGGAGAAGAGTGGAAGTTACCGACGGTTGTAGAGAAAGACTCACTTTCCCTGAAAGGGTAGAGAAGCGTATGGGGGCTTTGGAAGCTTAGATGAGTGGATCCACACTAATCTGTGAGGAGACGGCTGGGGAGGTGAACCTGGAGGGAGTGCTTTCTATGTAGAAGAGACCGTGCCTGAGAGACTGGAGACTGGAAACAGGCCGATGGGTTGGGAACTTGTAATTCTGATGCATGTAAGGAGCTGAGCAGAGCTGTAAGGCAGGGATTAATTTCAAGGAGCTTTGATCACCCACATTTAGTAAAGATTTCATGAAGATGAGCTATCAAAGACGGAAAGGAGACCCAGGACTGCTGCTTGTCAGAGGAATATAGCTGTAAGAAGGCAGTGAGTAGATGCAACTGTAACGTTCAGTAATAGGTGGACCACTCAAAAAATTGCCCACTAGATTTGGTTGGGGCATATTTCTTTTTTTTGTTTGTTTGTTTAATATTTATTTTTTAGTTATAGGTGGACACAATGTCTTTATTTTACTTTATGTGGTGCTGAGGATCGAACCCAGTGCCTCACCCATGCTAGGCCAGCGCTCTACCTCTGAGCCACAACCCCAGCCCTCTTTGGGGCATATTTCAACGGAACCATGGTGGTAAGAGCTAATGTGGCATTGAGTTAAGTAGGCAGAAGGTGAAGGAAAGAAAGTAGAGGGATCAGTTTTCTGTTTTGATAAAAAAAGAGAGGTTGAGAAGAACTTACAGATATTCATAGGTTAAGGGAAAGAACTCAGCAGAGAGGGAGGCTGAAGATAGGATAGAACTAATAGTAAAGATTGGGTGGGGGCCACTTGGCAACAAGGACTAGAGGAGAGCTGGCCTAGATAGGAGGAATGCTGTCTCAGGACTGTGGGCCCTGGAGAAAGGAAGCAAGAATGGTGTGATTGCAGATGCACTTGTAGAGGGAAATCACATTAGAGGACTTTTTTTTTTCTTGGAAGAGTTCTGCTGAGAATGGGAGTCTCAGAGCCTCAAGTAGGTCCTTGGGGAAGATAGACACAGAAAACAGGCTGCAAAAACAGGAACAAGATCAATGGTAGAGTTGGTGCCCAGATGTCTCTTAGCCCTACATCTGCAGCATTTGGTTATTTTACTTTAGCAATGCTCAGTTATTCTGGTATAGGAGCAGGAAGGGGAGACATGGATCCAACTTGTTAGGATTGTGCCTAGGAGATTCAGCAGGAAGATTGCAGAATACTCAAATTCTTAGTCTGTGATTCTTGGCTGGGTCAGGAAGGATGAGCAGTTAAAGGGCTCTGATGACTGAGAGAAATGGGACTATAAGACTTTGAAGCTAGAGAGGGGTCATGATAGCAAGGAAAGAGGATGCCCAGGTTTCCCAAGTACTTGTTCTATTCTAAACTGTGGAGGAGCTGAATAGGAAGGCTGCTTCTATGCAGATGTTTTTGAGCTCCCTGAGTTCTTTGATCTAATTAGACACTGTTAAAGGGACCCACAGAGGGTAGGAAATAACATTTATTGGATACTTACTGTATGCAGGGTACTCAAGTCCATGGAGTGGACTTGACTCTGCTTTCCAGTGCCTTCTGGTATTGGAAAAGGACAGAAACATTTAAACATTCTATACAAACTAGTCTGTTCAGTGCTAGGAGAGGAATAAACAGAACACAAAGGAGCCCAGATGAGGGCCACTAGTGCAGCCCTTGGGCCCCATTAAGGGCTTACCCATCTTATCGTTTTCTAGGTAGCAGCATGAGGGCAGGTATCTAGTTCTGGAATAGTGTGGACAGAGGCAGAGGGATTGAAAGAAAGTGGCAGGTCAGGGAATGGTCCGGAGTTTGTTATGGTTGCATGTGTAAATGACATCTTTTCTTGCTAATACATACCAATCTGTATAACAGTTGTATTTCATTTTATCTTATAACTCTACTAGCTACCTCTTGTTGAACATATATATTGTTTCCAATTTTTAAATGTCAAGAGCCGAAGTTTTTTTTATTTATTTTTTATTTTTTATAATTAAATGTAATAGGATTCATTGTGACATATTCACACATGCACATAGCACAATTTAGTTAAGTTTTTTCTCTGGTACCTCCCCCTTTCCCCTATTCCTCCCTTCTTCTGGTCCCCTTCCTGTATGCTACTGATCTCCCTTCTAATTTTTATGAGCCAAGTTGAAGAAGTCAATCTTTAATTATTTCGTTAGAATCAATCCCTGAAAGTGGAATTGTGGGTCAAATGGCACCAACATTTCAAATTTTTAAAAATATAGTTTAACTTCCCCAGAAACAATTCCAGCGAACACTCTGCAGCAGTAAACGTGAGTGCACATTTTTCTGAGGCCTTTAACTCAAGGTATTTTCATATATATATATATATATATATATATATATATATATATGTTTAATGACTTTAAGCTGTTTGATTGGAGAATTCTGTGTCAATTTACATCTAAGTGAGACTTTTTTTTTTTCATTCCTAGGGGAAACTGGCTCTGGGAAGACAACTCAGATCCCTCAGTACCTCTATGAAGGGGGCATCAGCCGCCAGGGCATCATTGCTGTGACCCAGCCCCGCCGAGTAGCAGCCATCTCTCTTGCTACTAGAGTGTCAGATGAGAAGAGAACTGAACTTGGGAAACTGGTACTTCATTTTCTTGTTTAATATCAGTACTGTTTACTGAGCAGTGCTCTCACTGTGCCTTTTGCCTTTTTATGTTTTTCTGAACAAAATTTCTTATACATGGCAAACTTCTTTTTTTGCCACAGCTGTTTAGGCCCTTCTCGGAGTTCTTTCCCAGTTCTGGAGAGATCAGAGACTCTAATAGGGTTGCAATTCTGTTTGCTTTGCTTTCAAAAGCTATTGGAGCCAGGCAGGGTGGCACAGGCCTGAGATCCCAGCTGTTCAGGATCCTGCTGAGGCAGGAGGATCACAAGTTCAAAAGCAGCCTCAGCAACTTAGTGAGACCCTCTCTCAAAATAAAAAATAAAAATAAAAAGTGTTGGCAATGTGGCTCAGTGGTTAAGTCAATTCCTAGTACCACCCCCCCCCCCCCAAAAAAAAAAAAAAACCCTTTGGAAAGTTAGATAAATTTTGAGACTTTAGTAACCTCTGTTAAATATTTTTATATATTTCTAGAAACATTGTAAGCATCTCTCTAACATATATGTAGGTATTTAAGATGAGTTTCAGAATTTTATAGAAGACAGATTTATGTTTACGTGCATGTATTCTAGCTTTACTTAAAAACATCTTGGACATCTTTTTCATATCTATGTACAGCTTCATGTGAAACTTATTAAGTAGCTGGTAGGAGGTTAGTTTAAAATTCTTTGTAATGCTCACCATAATTGCACTTAAAGGTACATGTCCCCTTCCTCGCTTATTGTGTGTTAACATCCACATATCAAGAGAGAATATTCAGCCTTTGGTTTTTTGTACTGGCTTATTTCACTTAGCAAGTTAGTTTCCAGTTTCGTCCATAATGCAGATGCTCAGCATAATTGCAGTTAAAGGTGCATGTCCACTGAGTAAACCATACGATCCCCAAGGGAGCAGGCCAGGGTAGTGTTGGTCTTGTGCACTGTGATATGTGCTTAGGACAGTGCTGGATACAAGGGGATGCTCAACAGATGTTTGGTGCATGAATGAGTTGTTCCTCCATATAGGTTGGTTATACAGTGCGCTTTGAGGATGTCACCTCAGAAGACACCAGGATCAAGTTCCTAACTGATGGCATGTTATTGCGTGAAGCAATTTCAGACTCCCTGCTTCGGAAGTACAGCTGTATCATTTTGGATGAAGCCCACGAACGGACTATCCATACAGATGTGCTCTTTGGAGTGGTGAAAGCTGCTCAGAAGAGGCGAAAGGAACTGGGGAAACTGCCTCTCAAAGTATGTGCAGCCAATTTAAGGAAACAGGCTTGTTTCTTTCCCATGTGTTTTCTTGCTTCAGAACCACAGAGAAAGATGAACATGATGGGAGTGGCACAGGCCTTGACCATCTGCTTTTAGGGCTTGGGAGGGGCATAGAAAGGCTGTCCAATGCCTACTTGCTATCCTCCTTTTTGTTCTCTTGCGAAGGTGATTGTGATGTCAGCTACCATGGATGTGGACCTGTTTTCTCAGTATTTCAATGGAGCCCCTGTCCTCTACCTGGAAGGTCGGCAGCATCCAATCCAGATTTTTTACACCAAACAGCCTCAGCATGATTACCTACATGCAGCTCTTGTCTCGGTCTTCCAGATCCACCAGGTATGGAATGGGGTTCAAATTCCTGACAAATTCTGTGTTCTGTACATTTGGTAGTGAGAACATTCAGCCTTGAAGAGAAAAGCCACTGTCAGGTGCAGTGGCACACACTTGTAATCCTAGTGACAGGAGGCTGGAAACAGGAGGATGGCAACTTCAAGGCCAGCCTCGGCAACTTAGTGAGGCCGAAGCAACTTAACGAGACTTGTCTAAAAGTAAATAAAAAGTCTGGGGATGTAGCTCAGTGAGAGAGCACCCCTGGGTTCAATATTCAGTACCAAAAAAAGAAAAACCAGTGAATACACCACTTTGTGAGCATGTCATCAAGATAAATATGAAAGGTTGAGGGTGTAGCTCAGTGGTAGAACATTTGCCTAATGTGTAACACACACACACACACACACACAAACACACAGAAAGTTAAATAAGGAATTCAATTGCTATGTCTAGGTTTTTAGTCATTTTTATGGTATCTCTTATTTATTTATTTATTTTTAGCAAGATTGTTATTTATTTATTTTTAAATTTTTTAGTCATACATGACAGCAGAATGTATTTTGACATATAATACATACATGGAATGTACATACATCAATCATATTGTCTATTCTATTCTGCTTCTCTTATTTTCTCTGAAAAGAAAAATAATTCAACTCTGACCAGCAACTTTCCTCCACTGAACTAGAAAACTATCATATGTTAGAGCACTGCCCTACTTGGTTTTTTTTTTTTTTAATTTATCAGAAGCCCCACTAAAGAAGTACATTTTATATTACAACCTTCTCCCTCTTTCTCTCTCTTTGCATACACACACACACATATATATGTATATGTACATATGGATATATATAAACTATATTAAGTCTATGAAAAACTGTCTCCTTCATTACTTGTGATATAGTCTGTTATTTTCTACCTCATTAAAAAAGTAAAAATTGACTCAATAATGGGTTGCAATTAAGAGTTGTTTTTTAGGGTTGGGAGTGTGGCTTGGGTAGATTGCTTGCCTAGCATGCGTGAGGCTCTGGGTTTGATCCCAGCACCACCACCACCAAAAAAAAAAAGAGGTGTTTTTTTAACTTCATTAAAGAACTATTTCAAAATCCCTTCTCATTTTATTAAATATTTACTTTAAAAACTTGAATAATTAAATCACCTCATTTTTGTTTGATTTGTATAAAATTGTTTTTAATTTTCCTGTTAATTTTCTGAGAAAATCTAAAGGCAAAGAATTAACTTTTATTAGGTCTGTGCAACCGTCATATTGACACTCTCGCCACTCTCCCACAGTGCCCATGGTGATGCCCATTACTGCTTCCTCTGGCTTCCCAGTCTGGCTGCACTGGGTAGGAGAGGGAACCTGTAAGTTTAACTAGACCATACTCAAGACTTTGAGTCAAATTCCAGGTTTCATCCTCTCACAACTTATCTTTACCTTGCTCCCCCAAGTCCTGAGCCTTTCTGGCTCCTCTAGGGAAATCACCTCATCTCTTGTCACTGGTCCCCTTAGTAGGCACCCAGGACACAGCTTCCTATGCCTATCATTCAGTGTCTCCCCCCCATCTCTTCCATCTTTCAAAACTGAGTTGAACACACTCATCTCATTGTTGTGCCATTTTGGGACAGTGACCCTTATTGTCAATTTGATGGTATTTGGGAAAGAGAAAAGGTCAGTCCGCCTTGTTTAACTGCCAAAAGCAAACTTGAAATGATGGGTTTTTCATGAATGGTGGCTACTGGTACATTCCAGGGTATATAGTAGCTTTGATGAATTCTGCTACTGATAAAGTTTTGACCGTTTTACACTTTATTCTGTCTGTATATACCTCTGAAATTTGTCCTATCCATATTAGGCTCAAAAAAATACACACAGGAGCTGGTTGTAGTGGTGCACGCCTGAAATCTCAGTGACTCGAGAAGCTGAAGTAGGAAGATGGCAAGTTTGAGGCCAGCCTCAACAAATTAGTGAGGCCCTAAACAACTTAGTGAGACCCTATCTCAGAATAAAAAATAAAAAGAGTTGGGGAAGTAGTTCAGTGGTAAAGTACCTTGGGTTCAACCCTAGTACCCCATAAGTTAAAAAATACACACACATATAAATATATGAATGTGTATATGTACTTAAGTAAATACTCATCCTTCAGCATTCAAAGTGGGGGTTAGTTCCAGGACCCCCCACTTGGATACCAAAATTTGAGAATACTCTAGTTCTTTATAAAATGTCATGGTATTTGCATATAATCTACACATATCATCCTGCATAATTTAAACCATCTCTGTATTACTTATAATACTTAGTACTATGTAAATGCTATGCAAATAATTGTTAGATTGTTTAGCAAATAATGACAAGAAGTCTGTTTAATACAGACTTAATTTTTTAAAATAGTTTAAATTTTTTTTTTAATTTTTTTTAGATGTATATTGTATTAATGTATATTTTGACGTACGTACATAACTTATTCTAATTAGGATCCCATTCTTGTGGTTGTACATGATGTGGAGTTTCATTGTTCATGTATTCATATATGAACATAGGAAAGTTATGTGTGATTCATTCTGTTCTTTCCTAATTGTAACTCCTCTCCCCTTTGTCTAATTCAATGAACTTCTCCCCATCCTCACTTATTGTGTGTTAACATTCACATATCAAGAGAGAATATTCAGCATTGGGTTTTTGGTACTGGCTTATCTCACTTAACAAGATAGTTTCCAGTTTCATCCACTTTCTGGCAAATGTTATAATTTCATTCTTCGTTACAGCTGAGAAATATTCCATTGGTGTGTATGCACCACATTTTTTTTTTTTTTTTGGTTACAGGGGATTGAACATAGGGGTGCTTAACCACTGAGCCACATCCCCAGCCACCCGCATTGTTTTGGCAGGAGGGACATGTACTGGGGCTTGAACTTGGGAACACTCAACCACTGAGCCACATCCCCAGCCCTATTTTGTATTTTACTTAGGGTCTCACTGAGTTGCTTAGCACCTTGCTGTTGCTGAGGCTGGGTTTGAACATGCAATCCTCCTGCCTCAGCCTCCTGAGCTGTTGGGATTATGGGTGTGCACCACCACACCTGGCTCCCAGCCCTTTTTAAAAATATTTTATTTAGAAACAGGGTCTTGCGTAGGGCTTCAACCTCCTGAGCCACTAGGATTAGGGGCATGCATCTCCATGCCCAGCATACCACATTTTCTTTATCCGTTCTTCTGTTGAAGGGCACCTAGGTTGGTTCCATAGGTTTGCTATTGTGAATTCAGCTGCTATAAACATTAATATGGCTATATCGCTGTAGTGTGCTGATTTAAGTCGTTTGGGTGTATACCAAGGAGTGGGATAACTGGGTCAGATCTATAGGTGTTTGAATCTGTGGATGTGAACCCTGAGGATGTGGAGGGCCAACTGTATACACATACGTAGGCACATAATTATTGTAAATATTTTTCAGTTATTTTGCCATATGTATAATCTGTCTGATTGAACAGATGTCAAAGAAAAATCAGGTAAATGGGCATATCATTTACTTGATCATTCTCTTTGAAGGTGAACAACCGAGTTAACCTCAGTGTCTCAAGCAGTTATATAGGGTACTTTTTTTTTTTTTTCTGGTATTGGGGATTGGACCCCGGGTGCTTACCACTGAGCTATATCCCCAGCTCTTTCTTATTTCTTTTTTTGGTGGAGGGAGATAAGGTCTTGCTCAGTTACTTAGGGCCTAGCTAAGTTGCAGAGGCTGGCCTTGAATTTGTGAACCTCCTGCCTCAGCCTTCTGAGTCACTGAGATTATAGGCATGTGACCATGCCCAGCTATGGGAAACCTTTTTGGTATATGATGGCATCATTGAATAAGTACTCCTTTTCCAGCATGATTGCTTCTGGAGACTTCCATTGATGAGGATTTCCTTAAGTTGCCTTCTGTTTTATCAGTTTCATCTTTTAAGATGTTTGGGAAAGGAAGGCAGCTTTATGTAGATTTTATTTTCTTGCCTGATTGTGCTTTCCCTGGTATTGTCCCTTCAAAAAAGCAACCTGGTAATTTTCCTTCAAAATGTCCTTGGCTGGTTTCTAAACATGGCTGGTTAACTCACACCTGTTACATTCTATGTGTTGCTGGTAAAACTCTTCTCTCAGGGAGCTATCAACATTTAGGCTTCTTACATCTCCTCACTTTGTGAAATGTTATCAGTAAACATCATTTTTTTCCCCTCTTTTTTTAAAGGAAGCCCCTTCTTCTCAGGACATACTAGTGTTCCTCACTGGTCAGGAGGAGATCGAAGCAATGAGCAAGACCTGCCGAGACATCGCAAAACACCTCCCTGATGGCTGCCCTGGGATGTTAGTCCTTCCTCTGTATGCCTCCTTGCCCTATGCACAGCAGCTCCGAGTCTTCCAAGGGGCCCCTAAGGTGAGTTCCCGCTTCTGTCCAGCTCCATCCCTGGGCACCCAGTCAGATCCTCCAGTGGGGCCCGTGTGCCTTTCACTGGGCTCCAGATAAGGTACGTGGGAGGGGTTGTCCAGGCATCAGTGAGCTAGCTGAGAAAATACAGATATATATTGCACAGCTACAGGTGGAACTGTCCTCTGAGAAGAACAAGGAAACAGTTTTTAGGGAATGAGGGAAAGTACAAAGGCCAAGATGAAAGGTAAGTGAGTGACTCTTGTAAGGGCTAGTATAAATCACAGTTTGTCCATATTATGGTTTATTGTCTGCCTCTGCTGTGCCAGGCACAGTGATAATGCTCATGTGCACTCCCGTCATTCAGGCTCCTACAGGGGTATTGAGGCCCCAGAGGGGAAGTAGGCAGTGCTCACTGGGCACATATGAAATTGGCAAGGCCAGGATTCCAGGTCTCATCTAATTGTTTTTGAATCTTGTGCTTGTCCCATTACATCTCATCACCTCAAGTTAATCTTTAGAACTGCAGTGTCATTTTCTGCCTTCCCATCCCTGTCTAGTTTAATGACCAACTATTAATACTGATGACCACCATTAATAATGAAGTCATCTTTTCTCTGTCGTGAGTGATGGTGGAAATTAATGGTGAGAGTATGTTTTAAACTTCTGAATCATATATGTGTCATGTGGCTTTTTGGTTTTTTTCCTCCTTTTAGGGCTATCGCAAAGTGATCATTTCAACCAACATCGCTGAAACCTCCATAACCATTACAGGAATAAAATATGTAGTTGACACGGGCATGGTTAAAGCAAAGAAGTATAACCCTGGTGAGAATTTGTAGCTCATGAATGTCTCTCCTGTATATAGTGAGCAACCATTGAAACTAGTCCCACAATTTTCCCCAAGTGAGCATTTCATGTTTATAAGTAACTGAGATTTGAATGGCAGGGACCATAAGTGAGATAGTCTAGAAATCAAGTCCAAAAAGGAGACAGACCTAATGCAGGTATGAGACAAGAAGTCAAGACAGGAAAGGAGCCCACATTTAGCAAACCTAAGAACATGATCAGGGACTTGGGCAGAACATTTGAAAGCCCACTGGAAGTTGGGCAAGAATGATTGCTGGAAGACCACAGACAATCTGTTAGCAATCAAAGGCTCTTATGAGAAACAGTATTTTGTGTATGGCTGGTGTGTGCTCCCAGGTTTCCGAGGAAGCAGAAGGATCCTTTAATCTGGGGTAATGGGCAGCAGGTGGACCACCATCTGTCTCCTACAAATATGCAGTGGGAGACTTGCTGGAAGTTATTTTTGCTCATTTCTGTTTCAGCTGAAATTACCACTCCCCAGTATTTAATTGAAGTGCTCTGTAGCCACTGGTGGGGCTGACTGTCATGTGTAGATTTCCTAGAGACAGCATATGTGAAATGTTGTGGGTTTTCATGGCCTGGCACAGAGTACACCTTTGTCCAGAACAGATGTTAGCCAGGCAGCTGGTTCATGTCTGTAATCCGAGCAATAAAAGGGTTGTGGATGTACTCAATGGTAAAGCTGGGTTCAATCCCCACTACCAAAAGGAAAAAGAAAAGTTTTAATGTCATTTATTCCTAGGAAAAAAACTTCACATGACCTGTTTTCTCACAGAAAACAGAGGATAGCCAGGCATGATGGTGCACACCTGTAATCCCAGCAGCTCGGGAGGCTGAGGCAAGAGGATTGTGAGTTCAAAGCTAGCCTCAGCAAAGGCGAGGCACTAAGCATCTCATTGAGACCCTGTCTCTAAATAAAATATAAAATAGGGCTGGGAATGTGGCTCAGTGGTTGAATGCCCCTGAGTTCAATCCCAGGTACCAAAAAAACAACAGAGAGAAAAAGCACACTAGTGACTCGAGGCATTCACTTTCTGAGTCATTGATCAGTAGTATGACCAACATTCCTAGCTTGCTAGAAACTGTCTCAGTGTTAGCATCAAAATTCCCATATCCACTGGGTGCAGTGGCACACACCTGTAATCCCAGTGGCTCAAGAGGCAGAAGGATCACAAGTTCAAAGCCAGCCTCAACAATTTAGTGAGGCCCTGTTTCAAAGTAAAAAATTTAAAAGGCTGTGGATGTGGCTTACTGGTTAAGCACCCCTGGGTTCGGTCCCCAGTACCAAAAAAAAAAGTCTTATATCCTAAAAACCTTCAGTCCCAAGCATACTAGGTGGTTGACTATCTTGCGATCTAATCCATGACTTCTGAAACTACTCTTCAGGCCCCTTGCTAGGAGCATGAGGCTTTTCTGATATTTTCATAACAGATTTACACAGGGCTCATTGCAAGGCCCTTTTTTACTATGGGACCAAAGCACTGGAGCAATCTAGTTTTGTGCTTTCACATTTAGCCTTGAGTTTTTCTGAACCCCCGTATTGTAAAAGGCTCACTGGTATTCTGAGGACTGTTACTTTTTGTCATCACTGTGGAAACAGTTTTTTTATGTGATGAGCAAAGCACTGATGAGTCCCATTCTTCCTCTAGACAGTGGTCTCGAGGTGTTAGCTGTGCAGCGTGTGTCAAAGACTCAGGCCTGGCAGCGCACAGGGAGGGCTGGCAGAGAGGACAGTGGCATCTGTTACCGGCTGTACACAGAAGAGGAGTTTGAGAAGTTTGAGAAGATGACTGTGCCAGAGATCCAGAGGTCGGTTCAAGGCATGCTTGCACCCTTGCTTACTGCCCCTGTGTCACTCTTTCCCGTTGGCTTGTTTTCCAGAACTGTGGTTTTTGTTAATGCTCTTCAGTCAATGGTTCTGACTGACTTGCTAGGGGTCAGAGATGAGTAACAATCCTGGTCTCGTACTCTTCACAGGTGTAACCTGGCGAGTGTGATGCTTCAGCTTCTAGCTATGAAAGTCCCAAATGTGCTCACCTTTGACTTCATGTCCAAACCATCTCCAGGTAAGTGGAGTCCTCAGTGTGACAGAAGGTAAATGAGTAGCTAACAAGTGTACTCTTCCCCAAAACAAGTATTTGGGAAGAAAAACAAGTATTTCCATCATCTCCTTTTGCTAATTTAACTTGTTGAATAACAATGTTGTCTTTCAGAGAAGGGTCTCAAAATCATGAAATGACAGATTCTATGCTGTCAGACCCATCATGCAGGGACTTACAGTCAGGGGACTTGACCTCTGGAACCAGTGAAGGTCATTAAGGGTAATCCATGGGATACTACAGAAATGAATTGTGCTTGTGTATGCAAAAGGACAGCAAAGATCAAATTTCTTGGCTTTAAATTGGAATTTGATTGTTCCCTGCCTTTTGTAGGTAATCTCCCCATGGTGGAAGAAGATAACAACTAGAGTCCTAATGATTGTAGCTTGTTGCATATGACATCACATCACTACTCTGTTGTCCTTTTATTTATTTATTTTGTTGTTTGGAATGGAACCCAGGGCTGCTTTATCACAGAGTTACATCTCCAAACCTTTTTATTTATTTATTTTTATTTGAGACAGGGTCTTGCGAAGTTACTTAGGGCCTTGCTAAATTGCTGAGGCTCACCCAGAACTTGTGATCCTCTTTTCTCAGCCTCCTGGGTTGCTGGGATTTCAGGCGTGCACCACTGTGCCTGGCTTGATTTTCCTCTTTTTACAATTAAAAAAAAAAAATGCAATCATAGAAAAGAAAGAAAGAGAGAAAATATAAACAATTGATGGTTATGAAGGGTCCTGCTCTGATCCTCAAGTTCTTAGTTTTCCTTTCCTAGAGCAGCTGTTGTGTTCATTTTCTAGTTGTCTTCTACAGAAAATGTATGCATATGCAAGAATGCAGTCTCTTTAAAAACACCCATAGCCCTGCCAGGCGGGTGGCACACACCTATAATCCCAGACAAGAGGGTAGAAAGTGCAAAGCCAGACTGGGCAACTTAGTAAGACCTTGTGTCAAAAATAAAAGGACTAGTTGGGGGCAGTGGCACATGTCTGTAATCCTAGCAGCTCAGGAGGCTGAGGTGGGGTAATCGCAAGTTCAAGGGCCACCTCAGCAACTTGGTAAAGCTTCTAAGCAACTTAGGGAAACCCTGTCTCAACATAAAAAAGTAAAAAGAGCTGGGGATATGGCTTAATGGTTAAGTGCCCCTGGGTTCAATCCCCAGTATCATAAATAAAATAATTCATAAATAAATAAATAAGGTGAATGGGCTAGGATATAGCTCCATGGAGGAGCATGGATGTAGCTCCAGCACTGTTTAAAAAAAAAGAAAAAAAGTCACAGAAATAAAAACACACATAGCAACACATATCATGTACTATTCTACACTTGGGTTTTTCTTTTCACTGCTAAATTTCTACAAAGGATGATATGTATAAGGTGTAAGGAGCAATAAAACCAATGTCTGTGTCGCTGTTACCGGTGCCATTGAATCCCCAGGGACCCCACTTGGCTGCTTCTGCCTCCTTCCCACTCCCTCAGAACAACTGCCCTCCCGTATTTTATTTGTAAGTTTTTGGCTTTTTAATGGTATCATTAATAGCTGTGAATAGTGTGCTGGGCAGTGGTTGGGTGGGTTTTGCTGTTATTTGGTGTGGAGTTGTGAAAAGCTCCTAGAAGTACTGAACTAGCTGTGTCTTCTTTTTGGAATTTTGATCCTTTTTATGTCTCTGTTTTTTTAGATCACATTCAGGCGGCCATTGCCCAACTGGACCTGTTAGGTGCTCTTGAACATAAGGATGACCAGCTTACACTGACTCCAATTGGAAGAAAGATGGCAGCATTTCCTTTAGAGCCCAAATTTGCCAAAGTAAATGATACCTTCTCCTCAGTCCCTTTTCTGTCTGTTACAGGTTAGCTATCCCAAAGCAAACAATTGAGCCCTGTGGTTCTAATCTCACTTGTTCTCTTAAATAATTACTAACCCCTACTTTTGTATAATGTTGTGTGTGGGATTCAAAGGCATATAAGTCATGAGCCCTGCCCACAGGGATTTGGAATTAGTCAGGGAAGGCAGTCATCCCTTTTACAAAAATGTAAAATGACATGACTTTACATATAAAGTTATGGTTTTAGAGACCTTGCCCTTTAATTCCTTTGAATAAAAGCTAGAAAGAGTATACAGAAAGACTGTATTCAGAAGCTAGGAAAATAGTTGGTTTATACATTTTTAATTTTGATTTTCAGACCATCCTTCTATCCCCCAAATTCCACTGTACAGAAGAAATTCTGACCATCGTTTCCCTGCTGTCTGTGGACAGTGTTCTCTATAATCCTCCTGCCCGGCGGGATGAAGTGCAGGGTGTCCGGAAGAAGTTCATATCCAGCGAGGGGGATCACATCACCCTGCTCAATATTTATCGGACTTTCAAAAACATAGGTGGAAATAAGGTGAGCCTTGTTTTGTTCCTTTTCTCAAATGCTAACTCCTTTTTTCAGGCATATATATTTTTTTCCTATTTCAGTGCTGGGGTTTGAACCCAGGGCATGTAACCACTGAGCAATATCCCCAGCCCTTTTTTGTATTTTATTTAAAGAGACAGGATCTCACTGAATTGCTCAGGGCCTTGCTAGATTGCTGAGGCTGGCTTTGAACTCACTATTCTCCCGCCTCAGCCTCCCAGGATGTTGGGATTACAGACGTGCACCATTGTGCCCAGCAACACACTCCTGGCCTTTTATTTTTTATTTTAAGACAAAAGATACCTGAATTTCCAAGGGTGGCCTTTTTTTTTTTGTGATTCCCTTTCTCAGTTTCCCAAGTTACTGGGGTTATAGGCATGCCCCTTCCCTTTTTGGCTGGATCATCTGAAGAGCCACACAAAGAATGCCAGATTTTATTTCAGAAATGTCTGAGTAGTGGGATATCACCTGGGAATAAATTTAATTGTGGACTTTGTTCTGCTTGTGTTTAATTTGTACTTGATGTGGACCAAATCAGTTATGTGTTTGGTGCTTCAATTTTGTAGCTATTTTATTAGTTTGCTTTTTGTTACTATAACATAGTACCTGAGGCAGACTAATTTGTTTATTAAGAAAAGAGGTTTATTTGGGCTCACAGTTCTGGAAGTGCTAGATCTATAGGCCTCATCTTGTGGTAGTCTTCTAGCAGAACCCTGAGATGGCACAGAGCATCACATAGAAGACATCACATAGAAAGGATTCAATGGTGAGGGATTCGATCTAGTGGCTTTATCTAAACCTAGCCACTTTCCAGAGGCCCCACCTGTAAACATCATAATTGGATTAAGTTTCTACTTGTTGAACCTCACAATGGGGATTAAATTTCTTTCATTTATTTTTTGTTTTGATACTAGAGGTTGAACCTATGGAAGCTTTACCACCGAGCTTTATCCCCATACCTTTTTACTTTTTAAGACAGGATCTTGCTAAGTTGCTGGAGCTGGCCTCCGACTTGTGATGTTCCTGCCTAAGCCTTCTGAGTTGAGAGAAGCTTTAGGAAACGTTCATACCGTATCTAGACGACAGCAATCACAAAATGTTTTTTCCCCTCACCTACCTCAAACTTTCTTCACAGTAGTTTTTGCTAGTGTGATATTTCAGTTCCTTGTACCAAGATAGAAAATGACAATATGTTCTCTTGTATATTAGTAAAATCCGTAATTATGCCATAGCGTGCACATTTTTACTTTAAAAAAATGCCACCACTCAGGGCTGGGGCTATAGCTCAGTGGTAGAGCGCTTGCCTAGCATGCATGAGGCACTGGGTTTGATCCTCAGCACTACTTAAAAATAAGTAAAATAAATGCCTTCTCTCCATCTACAACTACAAAAAAAAACCAAAAACACCATTCAGCTTTAACATTTCTATACTTTTTTGTACGTGTACCTTAGTTCCACTTATTTATTTATTTTAGGGATTGGACCCAGGGATCCTTCATCTCTAAGCCGTATCCCTAGCCTTTTTAATATTTTATTTTGAGACAGGGTCTTCCTAAGTTACTTAGGGCCTCATGAAGTTGCTGAGGTTCCTTGTGATCCTTCTGCCTCAGGCTCCAGAGCTCCTGAGATTACAGGTGTTCACTGCTACACCAGTGCTTTAATTTATTCTTAAGCAAACAAAATATTGCTGATGCAGTAAAAACGCCAAGTTTTTCCTCCCTTATTGAGCACTGTCCTATAGCTGGTCTGTATTTCCCATATGGGCGACTGTATTTCATATCCATCCACATTGTATACTCTAAACATAAATATTTTCTTCCACTATCTTTTGGCAGCTTCTTTCTACTTACAACACTGAGTGACCATCTGGTACAGGTCTCCCTATGCACACTGGGATCAACACCTAAGAGTGTATCTGCCAGGCCTTGGGATAGCTGTAGTTCAGTTTTACCAGGTTGGAAAGTGGCTCTCTCAAATTGTCTATGGTCCCTCATTCTGTATAAGAGTTTCCATTTCCACCACCCTCTCCAACTCTAAGTTGAAATAACTTCAATTTTAACCTAGTTGATGGATGTGAAATTGTATCTCAGTTATTCTAAACTTCATTGCCGTGATTCCTCAAGAGACTCAACTTTCTCACATAAGTTTATTGGGTGTTTATATTCCCTCTTCTGTGAGTTCAATCAGTTCATATCCTTCGTCCATTTTCCTCCTGGGTTGTTTTTTACAAATATATTCTGGAGGTACTAATATTTTAAGGGTATGATGCAAAATATATCAGTCTATCGCTTTTCTCATGGTGAATTGAAATAAGGAATATTTTAGTTTCTCTTTAAACTATTAATTTATTTTTTTGTTTGGTGCTACTGGGGATTTATAGTAGGGGCACTTTACCTCTGAACTGTATTCCCAGCCCTTTTTATTTATTTTTAAAAATCTTTATATTTTAGTTGTAGTTGGACATAATACCTTTATTTTATTTATTTATTTTTATGTGGTGCTGAGGATCAAACCCAGGGCCTCACTCGTGCTGAAGCTGGCCTCCAACTTGTGATGTTCTCCCTACACCTTCTGAGTTGAAGTGCTCTACCACTGAGCCACAACCCCAGCCCTTGATTTTTTATTTTGAGATGGGATCTCACTAAATGGCCTTTGAATTTGTGATCATCCTTGCTTCAGCCTCCTAAGTTGCTGTGATTATAGGCATGTGCCACTGTGCCTGGCAAGAGGTTTTCTGATAGTCCTTTTTGACACTGGAAATTTTCCCTCTGAATTCAACTGTGTTCTCAAAGTTTTATTTACATACACACACTCACACATTCTTTTTCAGTGTAGAAACAAGAGGATTGTGATATTTCTTTTTCTCCTATTCAGGACTGGTGCAAAGAGAATTTTGTGAACAGCAAGAATATGCTGTTAGTAGCTGAAGTGAGAGCACAACTGAGGGAAGTATGCCTAAAGGTATTGTCTCTTCCTGATGCTCTTTGGGGAACTAACCTGTCAGTCTTTTCTAGGGTAATATTTTAAGTTGCCTATCACTAGTGATTATAAAAGGAATTCTCATTGTAAAAAAATTTAAAACTAAGTAGGAAGTAAGAATTACCCATAATTCTACCTTTTACTATTTTGTTCTACTTCGTAATAACACTATTTTTTAAATTATTTCATTTTTTTTTTAAAATTTTTTAATATTTATTTTTTAGTTATCGGCGGGCACAACATCTTTGTTTGTATGTGGTGCTGAGGATCGAACCCGGGCCGCACGCATGCCAGGCTAGTGCGCTACCGCTTGAGCCACATCCCCAGCCCCAAATTATTTCATTTTTTACAGTTACTGTATGTGTGTGTGTGTGTGTGTGTGTGTGTGTGTGTGAGAGAGAGAGAGAGAGAGAGAGAGGGAGGGAGAGAGAGGGAGGGAGAGAGAGAAATGTACATATAGTTTATGTTCAGATTTATAAACTTTGTTTGCTATGCTTGGGATGGAACCTAGGGCCTTATGCATGCTAGGCAAATGTTTTACCATTAAGCTACACCTTGAGCTCCATCTTGACAGATGAGATAAAGGCAAGAAATAAGCTGGCCAGCACATATCTGTAACGTGGACTCAGGAGTCCACGTTAAGAGGATCACAAGTTCAAGGCCAATTTATCAAGACCCTGTTGCAAAATAAAATTTAAAAGAAAAGGCTGGGAATGTAGCTCAATGGGAGACCACTTGCTTAGCATGTATGAGAACTCTGGGTTTGATCACAGGACACTAGGGAAAAAAATAAAAAGGAACAGCTGATTGCCAAAAACAAAAGCCCTTGAGGAAAATGGGGGATGTTTCAAAGGATGAAGAGGACAGGAAGTAGTCATACTTCACAAGAGACTGGAATAAGCGACTGGAACAAGCCATCAGGAAACGCTGGTTCTCTTGTTCTGTCTGCTTGCTTTGTTTCTCCTTCTCACTTCTGCCTCCACATGCACATGATGGCTTTACACCCGGGGGCCGGTGAGCAGGAGCCTGACAGAGATTGATTAGATCTCCTATTTTAGACCTAAACATGCCAGCCTAGGTCAGGTAAGTAAGTGTCCACCACTGGTCTGTTGAGCCATAACCAGTGGTACAAGGTTCCACTACCCACTCAGCAAGGACATTGACTGATGACTGACATTCTCACTGCAGAGATGAGGACAGCATTTCCAGTAGGAGCAGCATATGCAGGGGCCAACAGCTAAGAGTCAATGCATGGATCTAGAGAAGAAAAGACTATTTATTGATTATAGAGAATGTCTGCAGAAGAGGGGTGGGGCCAAGAACTGATGGGGTGGCCTGGCAGTGGCTCATCTTCAGCTTTATCATAGGAACTTTGCACTTTTTGTCAACAGCAATAAAGACACTAAGGGTTCTGAGTGAATGAAGAGGGACTGGAGTTGTGCTTCAGGAAGATTAATTTGGCAGCAATATGTGAGTGAGCAGTAGATGATGTGGTCAAAATGAAAGGGAAAGGCTTTTCCTTCCAGGGATGACCTGACGGACCTGCCTGTGGTCTGGTCATTGCATGAATGCTCCCTGGCAAATATTTCTGTTCTCAGTCTTCTCTTGCACTGTGCCTTCATCCCCTGCCTGTGCTGATGCCTAAGGCCATTGAGTCAACCACCGTAGAATGTCAAAGTGTGTTTTGACAGACTTGGCAGGATGCTGCATTTTAGGTCCCGTTGTTCCAATGCACTTGTGTAGTGTTGAGCAGTGTTTATGTTTGGGGTCTTTCCATCTCTCCATATCTCCTGAAACAGATGTCAATGCCAGTCATGTCATCACGAGGAGACATGGAGAGCATCCGCCGCTGCTTGGCTCACAGCCTCTTTATGAGCACTGCTGAGCTCCAGCCTGATGGTACTTATGCCACCACGGACACCCACCAGCCAGTGGCCATCCATCCCTCATCTGTCCTCTTCCACTGCAAGCCAGCCTGCGTCGTATACACTGAGCTGCTGTACACCAACAAGTGCTACATGAGAGACCTCTGCGTCGTGGATGCTGAGTGGCTGTATGAGGCTGCCCCTGAGTACTTCAGGAGAAAGCTGAGAACCACCAGAAACTGAGCTGCCCCAGGCTGTGGCACTGTGGCTGTGCCTGGAGCTTGGACCACAGTGGCCTCGTGGCAGACTCCCAGGCTGGCACCTAGAGAAGCTGTGAGTTTCAGCACAGCTATATGTGCCTAATCTCCAGAGGCTTGAAATCATCTTTGCTGAAACTCCTCAGACTGAACTGTGTAGATGTGTACATATCATTTCAACCTTGGGCATTTCAGAATTATGCTTTTGGTCCACGGTGGGTGACTTTGGGTAACTTAGTTAATTCGTGAGCCTCAATTGGAGATAATAATCATACTAACTTATAAGATTGGTGTCATGAAGTTGAGAGAAAATGAATGGAAAATTACCTAGAGCTTTGCCTGACACAGATACACACATAGTAAATTATGAGCCATTATGCATAATGTTACTGTTTTCTATCTGATGTGAATTAAGTACAACAAGATACCATGAGTTCTTGTGACTGACAGGCATGGAGCTTGGATGTTGTCCTTGATTCTATTTAATGTCATTCTTTATACAGCTTTAAAGTAGAAACATAAGAAATTGACTTCTGTAGAAGTTTCAAGAGGGAGGTGCTGTTGTCTCTTATCTCCTGGGATGGCCATCCCTACTGAGCCTCATGTCTCAGGGTGCAGACTAGTCTTTGCCCATCTCGAACCAGAGATCACTGAAGGAGTCTCTTGGCCCTTGGCGCATGTCCACATCAGTGCTTTCAGGAGACATGTAAGTTACTTGGGTGAAAGTTGATTGTACCTTCTGAATCATGTCAGATGTAGACACAAGAAACCAACCTGTTGGTGTAGTAGTCTCCTTACACACCCAGTTGTCATTTTTCTCTTTAACTGAGCACCTATGAATGTGTGCACATGAAGAGTAATTCTGTGCTCTGTTTCAACTGTTTCTCTGTGAGCAGGGCCCCTGGTCAGAGGTGCTGGGGGTAAGAGGGAAGGAATAGGTTCATGGTCAGTGAGAACCCAGAGGGCATCTACTCCTCCCATTCACCACAATTGGCTGTTATAGTCTTGTATCTTGTTGATTTTCTGTCTTTTTTTCTTTATAGGGACATGGGGACATCTGGCTTTGCAGATGTCTCTAACCTTCATTGTCTACATTTGTCAGAGGGAATTTGAGGATCTACACAGTCTCTTCCTACTGGGGAAAGACTAAAGGTTCTTATTAGCTAGTTTATATCAAAAGCAAATAATCTTTCCCCGGAGAATGCTTGGACCTAGAAGCAACCAAGATTAAGCATGATAAAAGTTGTGCTTAATTGTTCCAAAATGCAATTTTGTCATTACTTTACATAGTGAATTGCACAATCCATTAAGCAGGGGGCCAAACTGCCTACCAGCTTCTTCAAAGAAAGTGGGCAGTCTCTTCAATCGGGGTCCCATGAGCTCTTTTCAGACTGTCGCCTGATTGCTCACCTCCATTAAAGGGTCTCATTGGTGCACAGTTGTCTAAATTTAATCTGGCCTGGTCTTTATTTATAAAATTAGCTGTAGTCTGAGCAATTTGACTTTTTAGCCCGTATTTAGGGTTGTCTAGGTACTTATTTCTGTTAGAAATGGTTACAGTTATGTCCACAGGAATCTAACAGTTCCTGTGGACCTTATTGTAGAGAATTCTTAAACTTGAACTGGTTCTTCCACAAATCAGCTTGTTCTTACCATTACTGACTTCCTGAAAAGTTCTCCAGAAAGTTTTCTTTTTAAGTATATTTTTATCATTCATAAGAGGGGGCTAGGATGTTTAGCCTGACTTGGTAGAAGAAAATATTGTGCTTTTTTTGGTCAGAACTTTTGTATAATCTTTTATTTTTATTGAGCTGTAACATTTTTGCTCTACATATTTTCCACAAGCAAAACTATTCCTTGTGATCTTGAGCTGCTGTGAAGTATGACAATTGATAGTATTATAAAAATGTTTCCATCTTTTCCTCATTGATAAAATCTTTGCTGTTGTACGACAACTTCAGTCAAAAAATTATACATAATAACTTGGGTAAAAGATTTAATCTTTGACAATATGATATTGATATGATATAAACAATCGAATCCATTAAAAATATTCTCTATCCCAGATCATCCACTTTTTATCTGGAAATACTCAAACTAGAAAATCTGAAAGCATGAAGAACTTTTCAAAACCACTTTCAAGAAGTGACAGGTCTGGAGACACTTGCTTTATGCTAATAGGGAATCCCTCCCTGTGGAAGTATCTTTAAGCCTCTCCATTTTCTCTTAAAAAGGTCTGAGAGAAACATTCACATCAGAGGGAAGAAAGATACATCTGACACGCAATAATCTTTCCAAGCATAAATATGAAATACCTGAATCAATACTAATTTCTCTTGTTCCATTTCTTTTAGTTTACTTTTTATACACACAAAGATAACACACACCCTAGAAAATGTTTCACCCTCATGATGTTTCTTTTTTTGGGGGGGTACCCGAAATTGAACCCAGGGTCACTTAACCTCTGAGCTACATCCCCAGCCTTTTTTTATATTTTATTTAGAGACGGGTTCTCAGTTGTTGAGGGCCTCACTAAGTTGCTGAGGCTGGCTTTGAACTCATGGTCCTCCTGCCTCAGCTTCCTGAGCTTCCTGGGATTACAGGTGTGATCCACCATGCCTAGCTCCTCATGATATTTCTACACACTTACTTCCATAGCATGTGCACTCTCTCCCTGCCTGATTGTCTCTCTTTTTAACCATGGACTTTTCTGCCTTATGCAAGAATTCTGAATTTAATTTTATGGCTTACAAACACTTACATAGACACAATTCCCAATGTCCCTGGTGAATATTTTAATGGGAATCCTCTGGATAGTCCTTCTCTTTCTTCAGATTGATGTAGGAGAGAAAGCCATTTGTCCTTTTGCTCTGGAGATCTAAAAGTGGCCAAGTTGTTCACTGTGGGCCAGCCCAAGACAAAGGATGTCACAGAATTGATGTTCCCCTCTCCCGTTTCATCTACACAGCTTGCTCTGCACATATCAGTTTTATTTTGTTTTTTACCTTTATGTTTGATTTTCATCAGAATAGATTACTGTAAAGAAAGAGATGCTACTTCTGCCTCTGTAGGCCTCTTTTGAGTTCTATCCGTCCATCAATCAGCAGTGTCACACTGGTAATGGGCTGTTTTTGCAGGACTTTATTCAGGATTAAAAATGGATCACTCCTCTTTCTTTCTACTGGTGATTTCATTTTCATAGAATTTATGATGAATTTTGCATTACAGAGGGCTTTGCAGTTGCTTTCATTTCTTGTTGAAATCATCCTTTGTGACTTGTTAGCCTCATTTAATTCCTACCAAGAGAGGACATTCCAAATTGTCTTTCTTCTTTCATTTCAATAACACTTATTTCCAAACATTTCATGTAACTTATATTAAATATTTTCTGTGTCTCAGAGAAATGTACACTTCCAGAGAGAGGAATCTTTTGTCCGTTTTTGTTCTCTGTTGTATCCAAAGCACCAAAAGAAGTACTTCGGAACTTTCTAGAAAGCAAGCACTTCCTTGTTGGATAATTAAGAAAAACTTCTCTAGAAGCTTTGGCAAAGACCTTCCTCAGACTTCAGGGATAGACTGGGGTTTTCCTCTTGCTGAACATGTTCTCAAGTCAGAGCTGCAACCTTCCTGGCTCCTCCTGAGGCAAAGAAAGCCCTTAAGGTCCTGGAACCAGCTGCTCTTTGAACCAACTGATGAAAAGAAGGGATTGTAATTGCTCTTTATGTTGATTGGTTGTACAAGAGTGGTTTCAACCATGTCTTCCTTTTGACTCTCAGCATCACTGTTGTCAGATAAGGTTCTATTTTTTGGTTTCCCAGGGTCATTTTTTGCTTCAAGTTTTCCTGGACCGATTAGCAGCTTCGTGTTATTCTTCTTTTGGGACATTCTTGATACGAGTTTTATAGTTGACCTCATCCAATGTAAGGCAGGAATTGCCAGAATCAGTTATATTGAGAAATCTTGATAAAGGGTCATCTTTAGAACTTCCATTCAGGTTTCAGAGGTCTCAGTGATGGCTCCATTCCTTGGGACTCCAGGTGAGGCTGAACATCATGGCGAAGCATGTGGCATAGGGAAGCAGCTCACTGGATGAACAGGAAACAGAGCGAAATATTGTTTTTGTGTTTTCTGACTTGGTCACATCCTCAGCCCTTTCTTTATAGTTTACTTAGAAACAGGGTCTCTCTAGTTGCTTAGAGCCTTGCTGAGTTGCTGAGGCTGGCTTTGAATTTGTGATCCTCCTGCCTCAGCCTCCAAAGCTACTGGGATTATAGGTGTGCGACACTGCGCCTGACTAAAAATACTGTATTTTTAATAAAACATTCATCATTGCTGGTAATCAATGGGGAGTGGGGTAGTTTATTCCTCAACAAATTATCTCTATATAGAGGAGTTTGGGGGGTCAAGTAAACCTTGAGTTTTGTCCAGCTTAAATACCTGAACAGTTTCTGGAAATGTATATTCTCTGAGGAGTAAAGAATGTAAAGAGCTTCTAAGTAGCTTTAATGTTTCTGTATAGATACCTGTTTATCACTATAACATTGTGGTAGGATTTTAATAGAGTAGTTTTTTCTATTGGGCTTTGTTAAAAGCTGATTTTTAACATAGCTGCTCAGGGATTAAATCGGATGGAAAACCCATCTGACTCAACATATTACTACAAAGAAATAAATGGTTATTTATATTGAGCTGCAGGGGACAGTGCACTTTAAACTTAAACTTTCTTAAGAAAGTTGACTGTTTCACAATGATAATGCAGTATAATCTCAAGCTACTCTTTCAATTGGTAAAATATCAGATACTGTGATGCTTCTTTTCCAATCTGTGCAATCCATATATGGACAAATCACTAGTTACCATTCCAAGCAGCTCTGCATGCATCAGGTGTTTATCTTCTATTGCCAGTAACCATGAAGTATGAAACACCCAGGTAATACATTCTATTACAGGGGGAAGGACTGCAAACACAGGTCCTTGGTGAAAATCCTTAATGCTACTGCATCTCTACTATTTAGAGATACTAAAGGGGAGCAAATTTTTGCACTGTGCATAAAACTAAATTTTACTGTGGTACATAAATCCAAGTAATTCAGCCATCAGGAACTGCTTAGAACTCTGGCTATGCATCTAAGATGCCAATGCTTGAGCAAGAGGAATTTATAAAGAAAATAAGAATTTTATTATACTGTATTTGATTAGATTGTTACAACTTGCAGAAAAAGCTAGTGGGGGTGGAAATCAAGTTGACTCAAGCTTATGCTGAATTTTGAGAGTCTGGTCTTAGCCAATACAACTATGAAAACATCTCTGTATATAATGCTCAAATTTGCACTTGACTATCAAATCCATAAAAATGAAACCTGTACATTTTGTGTGTGGCTTCTTTGTTGGATTTTCTTTCCCTAATTTACAGGGTACTGTTTAGGAACTATTAAGTCTTCTCATTGGCACTCATTTGGTAAGCCATATTTTTTTGGTACAGTATATATCCCATGTTCCTAGGAAGTAAGATCATTGTGTTTTTTTTCCTTTTTCTTTTTGTAAGTAGTAGTGGGGCCCTCTACTACTGAACTACATCCAACCCTTCTTAAAATTTTGAGATAGTATTAATCTACGTTGTCCAGGCTGGTCCTGAACTTGAGATCATTCTACCTTAGCCTCCCAAATAGCTGGGATTAATACCCAGCTTCCAAAAGACGTTTTAAATACCATTATATATTGCTTCAAAAATCTCATTAGAGAATGAACCATTATAGCAGCACCCTCTATTAGTATTCATGTTTCTAATTGTACTTGCTCTCATTTGGTAAAATTAAAAATGTGTCTGAAAAATTTATGCAGAGTCAGAAAAAAGTTTATTACAAAAGGAGCTTTTGTGACAGTAGTGAGGATTGAATCCAGAAGAACTCTATCTATAAGCCACATCCACAGCCGCTTTTAATATTTTATTTTGAGACAGGGGCTTGCTAAATTGCCCAAGCTGGTCTCCATTTTGTAGCTGAGATTACATACGTGGCCATATATATGCCTGTGGATCACTGGTTCTTACCTAAATCTGATTTAGGCCACGGCTTCTTGCCCCCAGAAAAATGTTCCATTAGAGTTAAGATGCAAAGTTGGATGCTGCGGAGAATGGTCACTGAAATTAATCATGGATCCCGCCCTTGAGGATGTCATCATCTGGGGTGGGTGAGGTGAAGCTGCCAGGTACAGTGCTGCTGCCAAAAGGATTGTGTTGAAAGGAGAAGCAGCAAAAGTGTTGGGTGAGTTCTGGTGAAAAGGATGAAGTTCCAGTAAGGCCACTTAAGGGAGGTAACCTTGGAGACTGGGGTGGTGGGAGTTGAAGTGACAAGAGCGTGTTCCACGAAGTCAGAAAGTCTGCCATGGTTTGAGAATAGTACATAGGAAGTTGAAGAGTAAGCAGCCACTGGATAGAGACAGGGCAAAGTCGCCTAAGAACAACTGCTCCGAACCAAGGACTCCCCGGAGGTCCCCAGCAGAGGGCGCGATCCCATCCCGTTGCCTTCGGTCTTCAGGGCGCAGAAGTCGGAAACACTCCCGGGAGAGGGCGGGGCTTCCGGCGCCGTGTTAGGTCACGGGGGCCTTGGCCGGGGTTGTCCTTTGCTCTCGCACGTGTCTGCTAGGTCTCTCGGGATGCTGCCTCTGCTGCGCTGTGTTCCCCGAGCCCTGGGCGCCGCCGTCGCCGGCCTCCGCACCGTTACGCCCGCCCTTCCTCTCCGGCAACTGCTGCAGCCGGCGCCGCGGCCGTGCGTCCGGCCCTTCGGACTGCTCTGCGTGCGAGCCGGGTCGGAGCGGCGGCCGGGCCTCCTGCAGCCTCCCGCGCCCTGCGGCTGCGGCTGCGGCTGCGGCGCGCTGCACACGGAAGGTGAGGTTCGCGCACCCGGGCATGGTCGTGGGAGCCCGGGAGGGAGAGAGCAGCACGGAGAGAACCCCCCTGAACAGACACGCGGGGCCGGGACACTTTCCCGTTGGTTGACGACCAGCGGGTTGAACTTGTGATCGCACCCTCCTCCCCCATTCACCAAGGGTTTCGTGGTTTTGTTTTTGTGTTGAAGTGGAAATAATATTAAATACTGGAGGATACTTTTATCTTTAGTTTCTCTTAGTCTCATTCTTCCTTTTTTTTAAATTTTTCATACCCTGGGGCGCTTTACCACCGTGTTAAGTCCTCATCACATCCTCAGTCCTTTTCACTTTTTGTTTTGAGACAGTCTCGCAGAGTTGCTGAGGCTGACCTCAAACAGATCATCCTGCTGGGCGTGTGCCACCACGCCCCGTTATCCTTAGTCTCTTGAAAATGGAACTTTGGGAAGGCCCAAAGTCGTGGTTGAAAATATGAAACTCAGGCTTTGTGGTGTTATTTAAACTAATTGACTTTTCTATTTTTGAATCATCTGTATTTCCTTTCTAGGAGACAAAGCTTTTGTAGAATTCCTGACGGATGAAATCAAGGAAGAAAAGAAAATCCAGAAGCATAAGTCCCTTCCCAAGATGTCTGGTGGTTGGGACCTGGAAGTGAACGGGACAGAAGCTAAATTAGTGCGGAAAGTTGCTGGGGAAAAGTAAGTATTGTTCTAGGGACTGGGGACTCCAAGTGATCAAATCCATGACCTTGCAGGACCTGTCCTGAACAATCCCCAACAGAGCCTTGGATTAGGCCCAGTACTTTGTTAACATGGTTTTCAAGAGAGGATTTGTTGGACCTTATGAGCTTGAGGTTGCTTATTCACTGAACACAAATCTGCTCTGGGCTGATTGTTAGGGATGCTGTGCCCTCCCTAAATTTATTTATGGCTTCTGCTTCTCTTTATTTTTGTGGTGCTGGGGATTGAATACAGGGCCTCACATATGTAAGCACTTGTTCTATCACCAAGTGCCCCTCCCCCAGAAAAAGTTTAAAATTTTGTCTTTATTTCCCCCCCAGTAGTAGGAGTTGAAACAGGGCCTTGTGCCTTCGATGCAAGTGCTTTGCCACTGAACTACACTTCCAGCCAAAAAGGGTTTATTTCCTTTTGTCACTTGTATTATTAGTTTCATCTTTAGGAAACCAGGGCCAGGTTGTGGAGATTTATGCTTGTTTTTTCTCTTAAAAGTTTTAGAGTTTTAGCTCTTATGTTTAGGTCTATGATCCATTTTGCATTAACTTTTCTGTGTGGTGTGAAGTAGGACTCTGATTCATTTTTGCCTATGGTATAGTGTTTTTTTTCTCCGTGCATATGTCAGTTGTATATTCTTAACTTCACCTACTGGTGACTACACCTGGGGCATTCTACCACTGAGTACATCCTTTTTTTTTTTTTTTTTTAAGATATTTTTAGCTGTAGGTGGACATAATACCTTTATTTTCTTTATTTTTATGTGGTGCTAAGGATTGAATCCAGTGCCTCATACATGCTAGGCAAGTGTTCTTTCTCTGAGCTACAACACCAGCACCCCTCCAGCCCTTTTTGTTTAAGATAGGGTCTTGCCGAGTTGATCAAACTTATGATTCTCCATCCTCAGCCCCCTGAGTCACTGGGATTATAAGTCATTTGCGTAGGGTTTTCATGACCAGTTTGGGGCCATTATAAATAATGCTCTGGTGAACATACTGCATTTCCATGCCCTGGAATTCAGCTTGATCAGCAGTGTTACAGATCAGAGATTTGTGGCAGAACCTCAAATTGCCATTCTTATAGGAAAGCAGCTTCATGGTAAGGAAACCAGTCAGTATGAATCCAGGGAGCAGCATTTAATGTACTCTTATATGGGGTGGGACCTGCTGGAGTAGCCCAGCACTTCGTTTCAGATCTCTTTATCACAGGAATTTTGACCCAAACATGATTTGCCAGGTCAGGATTCTTAACTCGTTATTAGTTGATGTTTCTGGCCTGTTTTGTAATTGTGAAGAATGAATTGATACTGCAGCATTTATTGTGATGCCACCTTCTCAGGGGCAGATTTTGGGATGGGGAAGTTTTTGAAGGGACTTCTGTTCCATCTCATCAGCTTCTCAGCTGCTCATCTCCAGTGGATACCTGGAAAGACTAGGGCAGGCAGTATTATGAGATGGCCAGTGGACATGTGGCATTGGGCCCTGGGATGCTTGCCTGATGGAAGTAGCCCAGGTATGACTGGGTTTGGTTGAGATAACAGGCCTTGCTAATTCTACCACCCCACTCCTTGTGCTTGGGACAGAACCCAGGGTTTCATACATAGTAGGCAAGTGTTCTACCATTGAACCACCCCCCCCCAGCCAGGGCCTAGTAATTTAACTTTGAGCCATTGGCACATGTAGGTAATTTGCCTGTTTGAGAGTTCTACAGATAAGATGTACAGCCACCTAGGATAGAGACATTGTTTCAATAAGCCTCCATACTTAACCTGTTCTATTACTCAGTTAAAAGTATACCTTGCTATTGTGTCTTCATTTGCCTTTCTAGGATTACTGTCACTTTCAACATTAACAATAGCATCCCACCAACATTTGATGGTGAGGAAGAGCCCTCACAAGGGCAGAAGGCTGAAGAACAGGAGGTAAGCCTGTGCTGTTAACCAGACTTTCCATCAGTTCTAACAGGCAAGAACAACTGGTTCTTTTTTCTTTTAATTTTTTCTCAATACTTGAAGACAGTGGACTTACAGAGCAACAGAGTCAATAGGTTCTGTCCAGTGTTAGCCCCTGGGTTTGTGGCCCCTCCTTTCCCAGGGGCTGAATACACTGCCAGGAGCCGGCTCAGGCTTCATAGTTAGGCCTGTTTTCTATTAATGGAAAGGAACTGAAACTTTTACTCCTTAAGGAATGTTCCTAACAGGTCTTAAGCTGGTAGTAAATACTGCCCATTTAACCAAGGTAGGAAAGCCGAGGGCCTCAGAGATTTTAACACTTGGTTAGGTGAGATCATTTCTTAGGTTGCTGGTTTTCTTTGTTGGATCTAGGTGGTGCTTTGTCTTGAGACATTTTAGGAAGTGGCCAACTAGTGAGAGGGCCCTGGGGTCTCCAGACTGTCTGTTTGAACAGTGCCGTCTTCTGGCCTACTATGGGAGCAGAGCTCTTGTGTGCTTGTCTTAGCTACCCTGAGTGGATTTTCCCTGACCTTGGACTGCTCCCAGGGTCACCATCAGAAAAGCTTCTGCTATTACTCAGCCAGTAGGGATAGCCATTTGACCAGAACCAGTGTGCCAGCCTTTGATCCTGGTCTGTAATACAGAAAGGATTCCTGAAACAACTAAACTGGAAAGAGTGTCTTAGAGCTTTGGGCCGTCTTTTCAGTGTGTCGGTGGAGAAAGAACAGGCCCAGGAAGGTTGAGGGACTAATCTAGATCTCAATTAACTGGTACCATTAACAGGAATTCAGATTTCTTATTAAACCCTATGTGTTTTTAAAAGTAGAGTGCTAACAGAAGTAAAACTCTTTGTAATACTGTGTTAAAGATCCTGGGCTCCTTATTTGAACACCATAGCATAGGACTATGAAAATGGCTAGATATCCTAATAGTGGTGGCCATCACTGAACTACCTGATGCCTTTGCAACAGTGACTTGTACTGACTTGTTTTTTTTCCCCAGCCTGAACTGACATCCACTCCGAATTTTGTGGTTGAAGTTACAAAGAGTGATGGCAAGAAAGCTCTTGTACTAGATTGTCACTATCCAGAGGATGAGGTATGTAAGCTGGAGTGACAGTCCCTTGGCACTCCCCCAGGCAAGGAGTGTGTCCTGGGATCTTTCTGGTCCTTTTAGTAGATACTTGTGAAACTTTCTAGACCAGCAAAGCAGGGAAAGATGTGGGGGTGAGGAGAGACAGTAGTTAGAACCTGGGAGTTTCAGGCTGCAAAGCCTTTCTTTGCCTGATTCTGGCTTTTCCTGGAGAACCCTTCAGTTTTCCTAAATGCTATTTCTTCTCAGATTGGACAAGAAGAGGAAGCCGAGAGTGACATTTTCTCTATTAAGGAAGTCAGCTTTCAGGCCACTGGCGAGTCAGAATGGAAAGACACTAACTACACACTGAACACAGATTCCCTGGACTGGGTGAGTTCTGGGTAGGATGGGGGTAATTACGCCTTGTAGGGGAGGGTCTCGGTTCAAGGACAAGAAGCAGCATTTTAATTAGTAAGCATTACTGATTGTTGTTGTACTTCTTTAAACTAATAAATGTTTCTTTATAGGCCTTGTATGACCACCTAATGGATTTCCTTGCGGACCGAGGGGTGGACAACACTTTTGCAGATGAGTTGGTGGAACTCAGCACAGCCCTGGAGCACCAGGAGTACATTAGTTTTCTTGAAGACCTCAAAAGTTTCGTCAAGAGCCAGTAGAGCAATCAGAGACACTTGAAGGCCTTAATATTATGATGAGCTTTGACCAGTGAACAAAAACTACCCTGACACCAGACTATGTGCTTTGAAGTGGTTATAATCCTAACATCATGGGGGAAAAATAAGCAAATTTAAATTATTGCTATCATGCTCTCATTTACTATTCATTTGGTAGTTTTCCTGTACAAACTATTATTTCTAGATTTTTGTATAACATAATGATGGACAATAAAATTCTTTGATCTCCTCCAAGGAAGTTTGTCTTTTCTATTTCTTCACCTTCAACCTGCATCAAAACACCAAAACAGACATGTTTGAAAAATTTTAATAAAAGATAAATTCTAAGTAAAAGATCTGTATATACAGGAAATCCTCTTACAGGATTTGAGGATTTGACATGAGTCCAGGTTGGCTCTAGAGGATCACAGCCCATGTATCACAAACCTAAATTTAAACAAAACAAGTTAGCATAAATTCAATCGTAATCCCACAAGCCTTCCCTCGATATCCCATAATATGATCAGTGAACATTCCTCGCTGGCTTGGCCCCACCACTACGCTAAGGAATCACATCTGTCCTTTACTTGACTCCATCGAGAATATATTTGGCTTTTTCTGAAAGATGCTATAACCCTAACAGATAGCTTGGAACATTCCATCCCCTGGCCAGTTTCACATTTTCATATCTCAGTCCAAGCCCTTGTCATAGACCACCATCTTTTCTACCCACACCTATTTACTTCTACCTCATCCCCATCTATGCTAAATGGCCCTACAGCCTGATCTCACTAGATCTACAAATCCAGGGAGAGGCACAGATGTATATTCAGTAATTAGGCAATCTTTTTGCTTTTTTTGTTTTTTGGAGACAAAAGAGTCTCAATAAGTGGCCCAGGTTGGTCTTGAACTCCTAGGCTCAAGGATCTTGCCTTAGCGTGCTGAGTAGCTGGAATTCTAGGGACATGCCACTGTCCTGGCTGGTTCCCTCTTAACTGTCATTCTTATCTCTCTAGCATTTGGCCTGAGACTTTCACACTCCAGGAGCTACTACAATCATCTGTGCAGGTGACTCACTAGTTCATTATCCTAAGAAGGCAAAAGTTGAGGCCATCTGACCCGTGCCTCTTCAGCTCTTCTTCCTCCATTTATATAAAGATTAAGCACCTATTTAGATGCTAGGCATTGGGAGTAAAATAAAGGTATGATCCTTGCCCTAAAGGACAAAAGACATATCAACAGGTAACTGTAGCCCTCACATTTCACAACTACACACTCTAGGTGAACTGGGCTGTGCAAAATGAAATAATCACAGAGACAGAAATACCTTTTTCTTTGGGTCCTGTGATGGCTCCTCTGACCTTAGGGGTCCATGGAAAGAGAGAGGAGCAAAGTTCTGAACCCTTTTTTATTGTGAAAAAGCCATGCAAATGAGGTAAGGGGTAGGATTACAAAGGAATAGCTCAATCCCTGCAGGTAGCAGGTGACCCCTACACCTGGAGCCATGCCTTGTGATTGGTCAGAGCCTCATGCTTCAGGACTGGAAGGCATGGTCATTCAGAGTGGCTCACCACGTGCAGCAGCATTAAGAGGGCTCATGGTATCAGGTACAGTTGGGATCCCATAAAAGACTGGCCAGTTTTATGTGAAGGGTTAGGTTTTACTGAGTATCTGGCATGCTGTAGTGTTCACTAATCCCGAAGTTCCCCTTGCCGGGAGGCCTAGAAGCTATAACATGTCATAGTGATGACTACTTCATTACATTGATTACTGTAAGAGACACTAGTTCTTATAAGAAGCTTAAGGTTTCAAGACAAATGACACCCATACCTACTTAGAGTCCTGTCCTTCACACATGAGTTACTACTTAGGGACCTAGAATCTGACCTTGTACCTCTATGAAGATTCTTGTTGAGAGACTAGCCTTATGCTGCTGTGCTGTGCTTCCTGTCCCATATCCATTTGCAGAGGTGGTGCCAGGATGGCTACCTGGGTTTTATGACCATGACCTGATCTGAGGAGTCCAAGACCACTGAAGCAGATCTAACGAGCAGACAGTGCAGCTGGACACCATGATCCTAGGCTGCCTCTTTGCTTTTCAGCAAATGAAAATGAATGACTGATCTTTTAGGTGAAGTTAACTTCACTTTCTATGAAGTAAATGCTTCAAAAAATAAACCATTAAACATTTACCTGTCTCTAAAGATTATTTCCACCAAAATGGGAATAAAAGAAACTGCTGATCTGCTCTTACCACTGGGTCCCATGGGAAGCTTACCAGACAGTACATGAGAAGACTGGGCTTTTCTTCTGTTCCATCAGTGACTGAAAATTCAGGGGTATGGGGACAATGTGTACTGTGGTCATTTACACTATCTTCTAAATAGGTACGAAGCTTCTGTTCTGACAATTCTGGAGACTGAAAAATAAAATTCAACTGCACCTAAGTTACGTGATTGTCAACAGGTTCAAAATAATTATTCCTCATGCCAACCAATGTAACTCTAGCTCAATTGCTGTGATTGGATTGATTCCTTGAAGCTTTAAAGACAGTCCTGGGCCTAAGACTGTGCGAAGATCTCCATATTTAACTGCCTCTCCAGTACTATCCATTCGGTCTTCAAAACACTGACTGCCACTCACAGCAGGAACATTCAGGAAGAGCAGGCTACTTTCTAACAACCTGCTTCTGCAGCCACTGGCTCAGTGTATTCTTACTAAGAATCAGCAGTGTCTGCTCCCAGATCTATTTGTGCTAACTGAACTTGCTACTGTATCTCTGAGATTTTACTTATGTAAACTAATGATACTGTATGAAAATAAAGTTTTATTTTTATGATAATAGAGTTTAGGAAACATTCAAAAGGATAAGTTGTTTAAAAAAAATCTGTTAAGTAAAAGAAAAATCCTAAAGTTCTATATTCAGCTTCTTGATCAACTTCAAAGGGATGAAACTGTACAACTTTAGACTAAGCAATATAGGAGTTGTTTTCAAAGTTGTTAGGAACTCACTATAAAATTATTCATTTTTATAATTTGCCATTTTAAGCAACTGCTCAATGAACTGGCAAACTTGCTGCCCCAGCATGTCTGAAAAGAGGGTTCCAAATGCATTTTAAGGTTACTGAGGTTTACATTCTAAATATTGGTGTCTTCATATACAGAAACTTTCTATGGAAGATCAGAGACAAGTGTTTCCAAACCTCTGTGATCACTCTATAGACTGGAAGCAGTGGTGGGAGACACACTGCCTACGGGGTGGGGGAGAAGGGGACAAAAGCCCTGATTTGTATGAAGTGTTTGCCAATTTCCATGCTGCATATGTTCTTCCCATGGCTGATGTGAGGCTACCAATCTGGTGTTGCTGAACACAAAATCAGGAAGAGATGTGTATATAAGCTTCAGCCCATGACTGAAGGTTCTTTAAAAAACAGATGTATTTGGAAAGAGATAGCACAAAACCTTTATGTGGAATACTTACATGAGATGGGATGTACAGGCCACATTGACACACAACCACACCATTTGTTATTCTCAGGTTGTACCTAGAATCAGAATTAGGATCTTCTATTATCATGGTGGTCAGACCTGGGCCCTCCGAACTTCTCATGCAACAAATTTTTGGCGGGGAGGGGGATCCCACTCACCTTGGAATGAGGGATGGGAACCAATAATGCTAAAAAATTTGAAGACTCTTACTTTGTACAAACAGGACAAATGAGGGGCTTCGCTTCCCACTCAGCCAGCATGATGCTGAGATACTGTTCATCAAACTGCAAGCTCTTCTCATACTCGCTGATAATGGACTGTTCTGCAAGGCAAAAGGCAGCAGGAGTGCCTCACCATGTTTTCCCGGGGATGTCCTGTATTTAATGCCAGGTTTCACCTTCAAAAGTCTCTTCCACCTAAGGTAAAGATTCAGGCAAAACTCAGGCTAACATCTTGTTGGATCTCCGCAGCCCCCATCTACCACCTCCTTGTGAGCACAGGAGATAAAGTAGGCTAAGGGACAAGGAGATAATTTTCACATATCTCTACAGGCCACAGGAGTAAAGGTGTGAAATGTCGGAGTCTCAAGAGCAAATGGAGAAAGCTGATACTTACAGAGCATTTACTTCTGACATTAGGCTCACTGTTAAGCCTCAAGTGATCAGTTTCTCAATGGCTGAGTACTCAGAACCTATGTTGTTCAGAATCTGTGTTGATTGATTCAGCAAAAGTACAACAGTACCTAATGTGTGCTAGTCACAGGGGCACAGAGATAAAAAAGATTGCTCTGCCCTTGATGAACTCACAATCCAGACTTTAGACACAGAAGCAACCAACTACGGCTGTGCTCATTTGTTTACATACTGTCTGTAACTGCTTTTCCATCACAACAGTAGAGAGTACTTGGGATAGCTGGCCTTTTATAGAAAGGTTGCTGACCCCTGTTTTAGAATGTTCCAACTGGCTGACGGTAGCACAGCACAGTAAAACCTTATCATTTTAGAATTTTTAGTTAAATATACTCTGAAAGAAAGATTTACTGGGTCATATGTTTCATCATTCAGACAGGTTCTGTAGGCAGGGGGAAGAGAGAATCAATTACAAAAAGAAGATAACTAAACTTTAAGAACTTCACAATCCAACTGAAGTCAATCATAACAGCTATCTTTTGCAGAGCACTTACTATGCTTTAAATGCTGCTTAAATCCTTTACATATATTAGTTTCTTCACTATAAATATCTTTATTTCAAAGGTGAAGGAACTGAGGGATGGGAAAATTAATTACTTTGCTCAGTTCCACACAATTTATAAGTGGTAAAGCTGAGAAATGTCTCTTTACGGTCTGGTTCAAGAATGTGTGCTCATGCATTACCATAATAATAGCTACTGATTACTGAAAGCTTTCTGCATGTCAGACATTGCTCTAAGTTCTCTACACATATTATTTAAGCCTTATGACAAACTTACAGGGCAGGCCTATCATCTCTATTTTACAGATGATAAAGATGAAACCTAGTCAAGATAAGACTATATGGAATAAAAGACAATTATATGAGGTGCTAAAATTATGTATTCTCCATAATGCTATGACATCTCAAGGAGTAATGTTCACAAGATCCTGGGGAATCAATAAAGAATGGATGAGAGAGATGGCATTTAAATTGGGTAAAGCAAGGGATGTGACCATGCACCACTCCACTGCATCCTGTAAAGTGACATGTTTACTATTAACCATTTTTTCTTTGTTTTATTTTTTTAATGAGGAGTCTTACTATATTGCCCAGGCTGGCTGGCCTCAAAGTCCTGGGCCCAAGCAATCATCCCATCTCAGCCTCTGGAGTAGATGGAACCACAGGTTCAGGACACTGCACCTGGCTAAACCTATTAATAAAGAGCAGGACAGAACAAATGTGGGAAGTGGATTCACAAAATTTTGCTTCCCAGCTCCACTGATTCATTAATTGTACAATCTGTGTGAGAACACCACTTTCTAATATAATAAGATCTTATAGGGTAGATAAAGGGAAAGCAATACCATAGAATGAAAAAAAGTTGTTAGCACAAAACAGCAAAGCCCAGCACCCTAGAGATTCTTATTATTAGGAAGACAGACAGTCAAAAATTCAGAGTAAAACCAAAGAATTCTAGACACTTGACTGAAGATAGTGATAGAAAAGGCCAGTACTAAGAGTGGTTAAATACAGGAAGGACCACTGCCTAGGGTTACCTTGATCAATCAGCTCCTGCTGGATTTCCTCTAGCACAGCCAAGTCCATTGGCAAGCTCAACTATAAAAGAAAGTGGAATCATCTTAAATTTGAATTATTAATCTGTCCCCAAACCCAACAGTAATTCATACTTAAAGGCTGGCTTAAGAACCCAGATTTGCTGGGCATGGTGGCACATGCCTATAAGCCCAGAAATTTAGAAGGCTGAGGCAGAAGGATCACAAGTTCAAGGCCAGTCTCAGCAACCTAGAGAGGTCCTAAGCCACTTAGCAAGACTTTATCTCAAAATAAATAAAAAGGGGTCAGAATGTAGTTTAGTGGTTAAGTGCCCCTGGCTTCAATCTCTAGTACCAAAAACAAAATAAGAAAACAGATTTACCTGAAAAATCAGTCCAGTCCTCCAACAGACTATGCTGAAAACTGGGTAATGTGGTCATGTTAAGTCATTGACAAATGATCAAACTAGCCAGTGATAAAATAACACTGTCAAATTTGGGGCAGACAGTATAGGGCTATAGTTAAATATATGTTCTCCCAAGGTTATATAACCAGGAAGAGTTCTTAGTCTTTATAAGCCTCAGTTTTGACCTCTGTAAAGTGGGAATAAAACCCACCCAAGAGGACTATCATGAGTAGTAACTGTGGTGATGTAAGGCAAGCCACTGAACAGTGCCTTCCTATAATATAGTGCCTTGATAGTTTCAAAGCAGTTTCGGAGTTTTTTTCATATAGTCCTTACAATATTGACATTATTTTCTTCATTTTATAAATGTAAAAGCTAAAGCTCAAAGAGAGAGAAGTTAAGAGTCAGTAGCAAAACCAGAATTAGGATTCCTGAACTCCTGACCTCCAATCTAGTACTCTTCCTGATACACCATAAACGATTTCCTATTCATATTCAGTTTCCAACTTTGGCTGAGACTGTAATCAGAATGTTCCTAGAGACTTTTAAGAAGTCAAATTCCTAGTTCATGCCTAATTAATCAAAATTCCCAAGAGTGGAGACAAAAATTTCTTTACAGTTTCATAAGTGATTATGTTGCAAGTATATAGCAGGTCTACAGTCTAGTATTTAGGAACCACTGACCTAGAATAATTTAATGTTAAAGGCAGAAGAGCCTGGATCAAAGGCTGTTAGAATTCAAATTAGGGGTTGGAGAGTCAGTGGGTTTAGAGGGAATGCATAAATAGGTACAAAGAAGACACTAGGATTTCTTCATGGTGCAACTCCTTCTCTGAAAACACTTATCCAAGCCTGACCTGAGCCAAAGCCTCTGGACAGTACTCGCTTGACTGCAAAGACTTCCATTCTTCTTCCATCACCTCTTGCACTAGAAGGGCATTCTGACCTCTCCCTGGCATACTGCTCCCAATCTGGCGGTAACTGTTCAGGAGCCTGTCCCGGCTGTTTCTCATTCTCTCCAGGCATCCCTTGGAAAAAGCAGCAAGATGGGGGGAAATCAATTCCATAAAAAAAAAACAAAAACAAAAAAAAAACCTCAGATTACTTGACAAAATGTTAAAGAAAATTTATAGACACAAAATTTCCATTATACTCCTAACTACTGTTATTTTTGCATATCCTTGTCCAGTCCTTAATCGCATGTAGATGAGTAAAATTATAATACTTTGTTCACATATTTCCAGATCACCATATTTCATATTCTATCTTCAATGCCAAGTATGTAGCAGGTCTACAATCTAGTATTTAGGAACCACTGACCTAGAATAATTTAATGTTATTTAATGTTATCCTTAACGATTGGGTGCATAATATCTTATTTACTATCCTATTAGAGGACATTTATATTGCTTTCAAATTCTTGCTACTTTAGAGGTGGCTATGGTAACAATGTTTCTCAACTCAAGGTGATTTTATTCACCAGGGTACATGTGACAAGGCCTGGGTGATATTTTTGGTTGTCACAACTCTTGTGGTAAGACCATAATAATATTTAATGGGCTAGAGGCCAGGGATACTACATTTAAAAATTTTACAAAGTACAGAACAGCCCTACACAATAAAAACTATCTCTCTCAAAATGTCAACAGCCACGGTTGAGAAACAAAATTTTTCTAATATCAGATTATTTTCCTGGAATATACACACTTGGAGAGGCAGTATCTTACTAGGGACTATGTTGTCTAAAGAAGAGGACAGAACTGAGGAGAGTTAACAATACAAACTTGGCAACAAACTCTTCTGACTCCTCTCTAGAATAAAAACAATTTCTACCTCACATGTCAAAACTATACAAAGTGCTTCTTTCCGTGTCCAATTAATAATAGGGGATGGTGTTATTGTAGAGGTGAGGAGAGTGCGATCACGATCACACTTCAAGTTTTGAAACTGGCCAGAATTCAAAAAGCAAAGCTTAGAGAGTCTGAGCCCACACAGGGTAATCCCACACCCGTCGGGCCAAAAACCCGGGAAGGGGCAGGCGGTGACCAAGACCCAGGAAGCAGCAGGAAGTTTGGGTTCCGGGTCCACCTCCACTGGCCAGGGGCTCTAGGCACCTGCCTCATAGAGCATTGAAGAGTTGAAGGCACAGAGGACAACGGCCCTTGGGATGGATTCAAGGAGTGACCATGGCCCAAACCCCACACTCACCTGCCTGAAAGCCTCTTTCCAGGACGCCGAGCCCACCTGTTTGTACAGCGAGCGTCGCCGAGATCCAGCAGGTTCTGCCATCTCTTAGAGGGAGTCGGTGCCAATTGCCCCGCCCCTGGGAACGCGCATAGACCTCTGGGAGTTATAGTTTCTGTAGAAGATCGCGCGTGGATAGCAAGGAATTCTGGGAAGTGTTTTACAGATCAGCCCCACGCGAGACTGATTTGGACCATCTAAGGGTAGGTAGGTGGATGAAGAAGTGTCGTTTATGAAGTCAAGCCAATCTGGACTAAGAGCGGTAAGTCCTGAAGGAAAGTTCTGGATGCCTGGGTTTACCCGTATGGAGGTGTTCGAGATGCAATGACATACGCAGACCTCCGTCTTTACCTCCGAGCAGAGAACCAAGGCTGACTCTAAAGAAGCACTGTTCTATTCACCTTGGCCCGCCCACTTTGACTTCTTAATGAATACCAACCTGGCAATTGGCTTGCCCTTGAAGATGCCCTTGCTTGATAGGCTAGTTCTCCTAAGTCCCGCCCCTAGCGCTAAAGTCGTGTTTCTGGGCTTCCTGTTCGATGATTGGCTGAAGCAATGGATGGCTAGCCGAGGATAGGCTGTGCTCAGCGGCGGGTCAAGCAACTGTATCGAGGAAAGCAGTTGGGTCAAGATGGCGACTGCCGAGGGGCCGGTAGGCGACGGTGATCTGTGGCAGACCTGGCTTCCTAATCACGTTGTGTTTTTGCGGCTCCGGGAGGGACTGAAGAACCAGAGCCCAACAGACTCTGAGAAACCGGCTTCTTCATTATTGCCCTCATCGCCGCCTTTGCCGCCGCAGTTGCTGACGAGAAACCTGATCTTCGGCCTCGGCGGAGAGCTCTTCCTGTGGGACGGAGAAGGCAGTTCCTTCTTAGTGGTTCGCCTCCGAGGCCTCGTCGGTGGTAGTGAGGAGCCTTCGCTCTCCCAGTACCAGGTACGGCCTGGCCATCTTGAACGAGACCCTCGGTCGGGATCTGAACTTGTTTTTGTGTTTCGTTCTCATCTTGGCTGTTTTTCATCTTCTGGTGGGTGTGCTGTGCTGTTCGGGGACAACCCACTTCAAGCGGAAAAGCCCTTTCTATCCAGCATGTTTATTGACTCCTACCCTGCCCGACACTTGGCGGAACTCACGCTGTTCGGTGCTTGTGTTCCGGGGGTCTGGGAGGGAAGGGAGGACCGTGGAATACTTAATAAAACGTCGGTGATGGTTAAGTACTCTGAAGAAAACCAGTAGGGTAAAGGGATAGAGAATGTGTGGCGGAGTGGCTATTTTTAGAGGTTGTTCTAGAGAACCGTATTTTGTGTCGCGACACTCAAATGGGTATAATCATAACTTTCTCTTGGGTTGTGAGCATTGCCAAGATAGTGGAGTTGAAAGCAAGTTTCAAGCCTGAGATGGAGGAACTAATTTTTAATTATTATTTCCTTTTAGTAAATTAGTTCATTCCCCAAATTGGAAATTTTTGGTATCGCCAGTAGCGCGTGAAAGTGAGTGTGATCGGAAAGTATGCCAGACTTGCAGGGATCAAACATCGCTTTGTGTAGATGTTTATTTGTAGGAAATTGGCCCTCCCTTTTCATTTTAAAAGTAAGTGTGGCAACCATTTTAGTGAATAACATCTGTTACGTGTCATGGACTAATTCTTTTTGAAAGGTGATTTGATTTTAACAAGCTACTACTAATGCTTCTGCAGTTTTCAAACAAAGTCAAGAGTCTAGAATCTGTTTACTGTAAAACTTAAGTTAAGAATAATTATTAGGTGTTCAGCACCCAATTTTTTTCTTTTCTTTTTTCTTTACCCTCTTTTTTAAGAGATGGGGACTTTGTATGTTGCACAGGCTGGCCCTCAATTCCTGGTCTCAGATGATCCTCTCAGCTTCCCAAGTAGCTGGGACCACAGGTGCACACCATTGCATCTGGATCCAGCACACAGTATTATCATAGCATTCTGTATGCTATGTAGCATTTTGCACAGTAAACTATTAAAATTATTTATTTATTGTCTTTCTAGACCACAAAATTGGGAGTGTGTGTATTTGTGTGTGTGTGTGTCTACCCTAACTCATTTTTGTTTCCCCAGCGCATGACAGTGCCTGGAATATGTAAGCTCTCAGTAAATACTAGTGACCATCTTCAAAACCTTCAGACTTCTAGAATCTCAAAAACTCAAGGTTAAAAAGAAAGCAGTTATCATGCATTATAACATTGAATATTAATAAAAGCATGAGTAGTGACTTTAAGAACAACAATAACAAAAACTTAGTTTCTGGGATTGTTACAAATAAACTAATGTGATCAGATATGTATCAGAAGCAAGGTTTCAATCCTCTGTTTGGTTTGAGTTTCAGTCAAAATCAAGTAGAAAGAAGTTGGGGATTGAATATATAGAGAACAGAAGGAAAGAACCTCTGATGAGAAAAAAAGTCAATGTGTTTAGAAACAGCAAAGGCAGCTAAAAGACACATGCTTACAGACATCCATAACAATAAGTAGAAGTCTCATATTTTGGAACAGTCTGATCTAAAATGATTTTGACTTAGGATGTTTCTCTAAACATAAAAAAGGCGACATATTGGCAGTCTCATAATTTTATAACTGAAAGTAGAAAGAAAATGGGGATCTGAGGTAGTTATGAGAGAAAAAATGGAAAGTACCAATAGAAAAAGTGAATTTTTTGAGGACATATACCAAGACAAATAACTTATTGGAACCCCCTTAAAATATCGTGTCTCATCTTTTCTATATCAGCATTAAAGCAGCATTCTGCTTGCTGCAAAAGTTCTTGAAACCATTTTATTGTATTATAATAGTTATTTATTAATACTTCTGAGTTTATTTTGTCTACTCATTAAATACACACACACATATATATATACACACACGCATATATATACACACACACACACATATATATATTGGAGGGGTACTGGGGATTGAACCCAGGGGGTGCTTAATCACTGAATCATATCCTGAGCCCAGTTTTTATTTTATTTTGAGACATGGTCTCATAAGTTGCACTAAGCACATATTGAAAGTCTATGATGTGCCACATGCTAAGCTAGGATACAGAGAAGAGTGGCACATTTCAAGTAATCCATAGTTATATGTGTGAATTGAGCAAGTAAAAAAGTCAGTTAGAATGCAGAATAGTGGAATTATCCAGAAGGAACTGTGAAACTACAGAAAAGATACATTTATTCTTGCTCATAAGATCAGGAATATTTTCTTGGGGAGAAAAAGGCATAGAAGCCCAGTTTCTGAGAATGTGCTAAGTCTTGTTAGCTGGCTAATAAGAAAAGTGGCACTGTAGCAAGAGGAACGGTTGCACCAAAACAAAGAGGCATAATCATGGTTTCCCAGAAATACAGATTCATCTGATTGGTGTAAAGAACAAGTGGGGAATGGTGGAATTTGAAACTGGAGTTGTAGGTGTAGGTTGAGGCTTGAAAAATTAGGTGTAATAGTCTTTAATTATCATAAAGTGGGGAAATCTGATGCATTTGTTTATTATTTCAGTCTAAATGACTAAAAATGTTTCATCAACCCAAGTGTTGGTACTTACCCGGAATGCTTTGTTGTCCTATAATTATAGAAAATTAGAGCATTATAGTGGTTTCAAATGTCTACCATGTATATTTACATTAAAAATAACTATGTTGACCAATTTGCTTTAATTTTCAGAGATTACTTTGCATAAATCCACCTGTTTTTGAAATTTATCAAGTCTTGTTAAGTCCAACCCAACATCATGTAGCACTCATCGGAATAAAAGGACTTATGGTATTAGAATTACCTAAAAGATGGGGGAAGAATTCTGAATTTGAAGGTGGAAAAGCAACAGTGAATTGTAGGTAAGTTGTATGTCTACATAATTTGTTATACGTACAGAGAATTATTCAATATCAGGGATTCTTAAAGTATGGTTAGTATGTTACTGTTGAACCTGACCATTCCTTATGGTCTTCAGACTGGCTTCTGTGATATGAATGCTTATAGTATATGTGTGGTTATTCTTTTATTCTGCTTGAATTGTCACATTTCTGTCTTATTGGAAGTTAGGCTATGTTTTGAATTTGTTAGAAATATGATCTTTAAAAAGCACATATTGTCTAGGAGCCAGAAGTTTGCTTAGATGTTTATTTTTATATATAATTTCTTTTTGAAAAAATAAAGAAAAATGAAGATCTGAATGATTACTGAAAAGAATATAAGGTGGAGACCTTTTATTAGCTCTATAGTATATAAGTGAAATCCCTTTGTATATTTTCTAGATCTGATTCCTAAATTTCAAAATAATAATGATAATTTCTTACTAATAAAAAGATCAGATCAGATACTGTTTTGAAAAATGTTTGTAAAGCACTGATAAAATATGCTACAATTGAGAAAATGCTTTTATTTCAATTCTGTAATATTGATTGAATAAGTGCTTTGAATGCTGTCTCCTCAAGATTTAACAGAAAAATTTGAAGGAAAGAAAAACAGTGAATATTAAAATAGATTATTGTTTCATCCATGTTCTAAAAATATTTTTGAGAAATTTGTTATCTTTATTTTAGCACCACTCCAATTGCTGAGAGATTTTTCACCAGTTCTACCTCTCTGACTCTAAAGCATGCTGCCTGGTATCCAAGTGAAATGCTAGATCCTCACATAGTGCTGTTAACATCAGACAATTTAATAAGGTAAATTTTCTTTTTACCTCTCTTGTACCTTTGCAAGTGTGAAGGCTCTTTTTCACTTTGCTCATTCACAGCTCAGGTTTACACTAAATGAGTCACTGGATGTTCGAATGCTTTTATTTGATGGCTATTGTAACTCATTCTCATTCATAAGAATTGCCAAACTGCTTTCCCTAAGTTACATGCTTTAATTTCTGCTGTTCCTTCTCAACTAGTCTTCCTGCCTCCAGTATCTCTGTTCCTATTCCTTCCTATAAGTACTGTTTTCCCCAAACTTTTTATCATGTCACCCTTTGGTGATAGTGTATCACAGGGGAAAGAGAATATAAGTAGAAATGAGAAATTTGAATCTTTCCTCCACAGCCACTTCTATTATCTTTGAGATCTTAAGCTTCTTTTGGAGGCAAAGGGGCTTAGTTTCCAATTTTTAAAATGAGCAGATTTGATTTGATAATTTCTGAAGCCCCTTCCAAGCTTTGTACTCTGTGATTAAAT